CGAAAACTGGGCGTGCGGGGCAGACCCCTGAATTTCGTCAAGGCCTTCCTGAGCGGACGAAAGTACCTGGTCAAGACCGGCAAGCACTGTAGCAGCGAACAGAAGACGAATGAAATAGGCGTGCCACAAGGAGCAGTGCTTTCACCGGTGCTCTTCAACCTGGCGATGGCGCCGCTCCTATGGCGGCTCGCCGTCATTCCGGACTTGGCATTCACAGTCTACGCGGACGACATCACGACGTGGACTATGGGAAGTGACAACGCGCCCCCTCCCGAGACAACAATCCAAAGGGCCCTTGACGTGGTGAGCGACTTCCTGAAGGAGGTCGGTCTACACCCGTCACCTGAAAAGACAAGATACTTAGCCTTTGGCAAAGGCTGGGAAAAGATCGACGCGGACCTGCGCTTTGACGGTCAGAAGATCGACAAAGTGGCCGAGCACTCCATTCTAGGGTTGAACGTCCACTCGGGCGGCAACCCAAGCGCCTGGATCGAACGTATGCGAAGCACGTGGAAGAAAGGACTTTCGATCGTCCGACGCTTAGCGACACGGGCCGGGGGCCTGGGAGAAAGATTAGCGAAGACCGTGGTCCAAGCCGCCCTTATATCCAAGATCTCGTACGGCCTCCGTTTCTACAAATTCAACACCGCTCAGCGGACCAAACTGGAAACATTGATTAACGACGCACGACGCTGCATCTCGGGCTTGCCGAAGTGCACACGCCTGGACCTACTGCACGAGGCAGTCCCGATGCTCTCCCTTGAAGAGATCGAGCGGAATCAGGAGCGAACCTACGGTGCCAAACTGGCGCACACCCGACAGGGCAGGGCCCTATTAGAACTCATGCCTCCGTGGAGCTCTCTGTGCGCGCAGACCGCTCAATCACTAATACCGGACCCCATCCCACCATGGCAGAAGACGATGGTCACCCCGGCCTGTCCAATCCCGAGAAGGATGAATTCAACGACTAACGCCGGTAGAAGACGCAAGTTTGCCCGGCGGCACGAAGAGAAGGGAGGTGACGGCGACGACGAACTTCGAGTATACGTCGATGCCGCGTTCAAGGATGGAGTGGCGACCACAGCGGCATGGCATTATAAACACGTGACGAAATGCAAGGAACTGCAACACTGTGGATCCGCGCAGGAAGCCGAAGTAAATGCCGTACTCGAAGCCATCAAGGACACGGCAGTGTCATCAAGCGATGTAATTCACAAATTGCGCGTTTTCACGGACTCCCAGGCAACCGTGAGGGCACTTAGAACGCAGGTCAAGGCACACGCCGCAGTCGGAGAGATCTTCCGGCTAGCGCATGAACTGGAGCGACGCGACCCGAACCCACTCTCCATAAGCGTAGAGTGGATTCCTGGTCACGCGGGCATAGACGGTAACGAGAAGGCGCACCGGGCGGCGATCGAAGAGCTTAATCGTATCGACCTTCGACGCCAGGACCCGGTTGCGGCCCCCTCTGTGCTACCGCCATCGTCCGCTTTCAACTTATACGACCCCGAGGGCACCGTCCTCAACATTAAACTGGCGATGAAAAAAGAAGTAAAGATGAAGCTAAATGCCAAAGGCGAGCTCCCTGAAGCGAGCATTCCTTTGGGTTTCTTTCGACGGCATCAGACGGTCAAGCTGCGAAGACTCAGGGCCCACGCCGCCATCACGCCGGCCCGCACCCAGCGATGGGAGCGGGCGGCCCGCGAGAGGAAGAAGAGAGCTGACGGCGCTTCGATTGCAATAGACCACGACTACAGCTTGTTATCAAGAAAGCTGCGGCGAGAAGAGGAAGCCTGCTCAAAGGGCTGCATCTACTGCACAAATCGCGACGTAGAGTGCGACGAGCATCACCTCGTATGGGAGTGCCCAAACTTCCACGAGGAGAGAACGAAAGCCCTGGACGCGTTAGACCAACAACTCCGCCCCACCTCCTTCGAAGCCTGGTGTCGACCTGAGGGAGAAAGGGACAAGCGCGTCGCGGTCCTGTCCGGCCTGCTCAATTACCTGAGCGAGACCGGGCTCGACATGCACATATAAGGGGGTCGTTCCCCCACGGCGGGACCACAGCTGTACCGTATAGTTATGTAAATCGCCAATGTCCCGCCTAACCAACCATCCTTAAACTTGCCAATAAGTTGACTCCTCTATCCACCAGTGTCAATAAACGTCTTTTCACTCACTCACTCAGGCTAACCACATAACGCTAGTCGCTGACAGAATGAGAACGGCAAGGAGGAGTTGTCCCGCGCCTCCAGCGCGCGCTCGCCCTTCGATTCGGCGTCTCGTGAGCCACGAGCGTGAACGCTCAGCCAGAGCACGGGCATAGCCTCCTCTCTACTGCAGAAAGACTGGCAGTTCGACGACGGAGCCACCGGTCGCAGATTGGAGCGCGAGGATCTGGTAGCACAGAGCATCAAAGAGCCATGTCTCGGGGAACCCTGGGGGAACCTGGACGTCAGCGCACAGCTTTTGCAGCGGCGAGGACCCGAAACACACTAGTTCGCTCTTGAGAAGTGTGTTTCGGCGTCTCGCCGCAGCGGGGCGCCAGTCATGTGTCTCTCGTTTCATCCGTTGTCTGCCGCTCCACCTTTTTCCTTTCGGCGGCCACTTCTCGTGGCGATATGCCAGGCTTTGTCAGTATATAGGAGGATATGCCAGAGCACGGCAAAAAGCAACGTGCGCATGCAACGTTCGAAAGACACGCCCTACCATTCTTACCTTGTCAGAGGCTAGAAAGAACCGAGACTCGAGACAAACAGCAAATGCTCAGGATTCTCTGGGGTGTTTGCTCCTGTTGGGAACTTGCAATGCGTTTCATTTTAAAAATGAAGTTACTGTTCTTATTGTCATTCTTTCTACGAAGCCACGGACAAAGTATCAGACGTGGTCAATCCTCTTTGTTTAAATTTTTTTTTTTTTTATGTTGGCGTGAAGTGGTGGAGGTCATCGAGCCAGCCTCCCGTTACTCACACGCGGTCTTAGGACTCATTCAAAAATACAGTCGGGCGCGGGTGGGGATCGGGTAGTTTTCTCGCATCGGTTCGGGTAAAAGTTTCGGCCCCATATCTCTCCTCTGGACAACACGTCGCATCTTCGCAAAACCCATCTCGTCCGTATATAACCGCGGCTATTTGGTTTACCGCCAGACACGGCCAGTCGTACGAGCTGCGAAACGTCAAACACGTCGTACGGCACGACAAGAAAATCGCCAAGTACGTCCGCCGACCAATCACAACAGCGTCACGTGAGCGCATACGACATTGTGAATGGTGGGATTCGATCACTTTCCCGAAGCGCCGTACGAGCTGTCGAACGTTTTATCGTGCGCGTCTGCCTTTGCGGTGTTCTGCTCTTCCGTCGCATTAACTTGCGTTAACAATATTCTTAGCGAAATTCCGGCTATACGTACTCCGTCGCAAGCTACGAACAGATTAATCGGAACTCATAATTACCACAATTAAAGACACCGATATGAACCCCCCTCCCCAAAAAAGTACCCTCGAGTTATGATCTAAACACCGGGTTAAATAGTTGTACATTTTGTTACACCCGCTGCAAAATTACGATAATGCACCCTTTTCCGAATTGGGCGCATTCTAGTTGGTGCCACGAAGTCGCCATATTTCGAGCACACACTATGAACATGCCCTCGATTGATACGAGTGCTGCACCAGCTTTTGGCACGTACTCGTGTGCAAACCTATTCGACAGCAGTGCAGAGTCAGGGCTCGGCGCACACTCGGATCCCATGAAACGCTCGCCCAGGAAGCGATGCCCAAAATCGGCCGCCGGTGTTCCTCGATGTTCTTTGAGGTCTAGTGGATGACGATGTTACAGCGAAGGTGACCGCGAAATAGCCATTACACAGATTATGTTCGGAATATTGTGGTATATTTAAGTAAACTCCAGCGGGAAAGCGGGCCCGGAAAAACAATGGCGCGAATAGATTAAAATCGGTTCTATTAATCGGTATTTACACTTCGGCTTGAAGATGCAAATAGGAGATACTGCACATCAGAGTGAGAGTTGCAAATCACATATACTGTTCGCTTTCTACACAGAACGTGAACAAGATATGTTATTCGCAACTCTCTATTACCTTTGTTTAAAGGTAGAATAGGGTGCCTCAATGTCCTTCTGTTAAGGGTGATGCCACCCTTTGTAGTACCCGATGCCGACAGCACGCGCTCAGGGGTAAAATACAAAGAAATTGACGAAAACAAAATGTCGCCATAGCACAGTCAGCGCGCTGTTGACGCGCTTTTGAACAAAAAAGAAAAATAAATGTGTGGGACAAAATGGCGAGATGTCTCCACCCTAAGCAAAGCGCACATGAAGGCACCCTATATAGCACTAATTGAGCCAGGGTCCCGTGCAGAATAGTGCTGTAGAAAAAAAAATTAACACGGACAATAGACTGATCTCACCAGCCAGTTTGACTACGCCACCGCTGCCGCAATGCATCGAGGGAACTAGTGCCACTAAATAAGCTACGCTTCAGAGTAACGGCACTTGGCCATATTGTGTCTTAAAATCATGGTTGCCAGTTATCTGAAGCTTTATCTGAAATCACAGGAAATGTTTTTCCGCCCTCCACAAATGTTTAAACCGTTCGCGACAGAGCAAAGCAATATTACATGACCTTCCTAACACCGAATCTAATGGTGAGGAAGTCGCACTTTTGAATCATGACGATCGGCCCTTGCGTCTGTTCTGCATACGAGCCAAAATGGCGGCGCCCTCAACAATGTCGGGGAACGGAGTGCCGATACTCTAAGCGCAGCTTATTTAGTGGCTCTAGAGGGAACTTTAGTCTTTCTGCACGTGCGACAACTTCGCTGGAGCTCTGCGCGTGTGGAGCACGAAACGGCACGAGCCCTCGCATGCACGGCCGTCTGCCTCCTGTAAACTAAAGTTATGGCGGCGGCGCGCATGCGCCGAACACTTAGTGAGATCGGTCTATTAGAGGATTAATCCTTGTTCACCTTTGCCTCACGCAGAAAACCCTACGCTGTACTCGTGCGACGGTCAAATTGGCCACAAGCTGTGCTTCATCGAGCAGTTCATTCCCAGCGGCACTCCGATCGTCTTAGTGGGGCACTCCATAGGCTGCCACATGGTGCTCGAGATCCTCAAGAGGGCCCCTGATCTCAACGTAAGCTTCCTCCTCTACCGTCTTCAATAGACCTTCTTTGACAGCCCTGAGCACCCTGCTCGCCAATAGACCTTTTTAGCGAAAATTCGAAAATATTGCGCGCAACGTCCTGTGCACTGCACCTTGCCCAGCAGCCTTTGCCACGTGAGACACTGAAGACAGCGAAATGGCCCCGGCCCGCTTTCTGTCACCTTCAAGGTCACAGGCTAAGAGTTCACGGGAAACTCCTCTCACTTCTTTCTACTTTAGCAGAGCGAACGCAAGAGAGGAGGTCGCTGATAAAATATTTAAACAACGAGCGAGCTGGTGGGCTGGTGACAATCCATGCTTGAAAATCCTCGAGACTGAGGGAAACAAAAAAACGGGACACCCGACACCCACACACACACACACACACACATAGAGCTCTCTGTGTCTGGTGTACCCTTTTTTTCGGTTCTGCTCAGTTTCGGTTTTACAAAGAGGAGGTCGCCTCCTCCCCAGCCTTCGCTCTGCTAAAGTGGAAAGAGATAATAATAATAGTAATTTATTCAGACGAAACGTAATGGCGTCGCCCGGCAGCAGGAACTATAGTATGTCCACAGAGACGTCCATCTTGATTCACAGAAATAAATCGACACAGATTTTCTTCGAGATCAAGTGTGACAGCTCGTAATTGACATCGCGAGTTTCAGTCAAACGTATTATCAGACAGCTGATTAAAAATGGCAGGAATGTAATGAAGTCCTAGGTATTTATCGTAATGCGTGCGCACTTTTGGCACGACAAACAGTTCTGATTCTATAGTTATATTGACAAAAGTATTTTAATACAACAATTTGCTCGAATAAAATCACGAGGCAAACGAGATGCATTATAAATGCGAGACAAAATGATCCCAACAAATTTTTCCAGCAGCAGCTGTTAGCGTCCCTTCCCGGCAAAAAAAGGCTCATGTACGAACGCAACGTACCCCACTCTACAGCAGATGCACTGCTCTTCCTTTTCCGTCGTTCCTCGCACACGGCAAGAAGGCCCTCTCTCGCATCCGCGAAAGACCCACGTGGTAGCACCTAAAGTATTTGGTAGCACCATTTGGTAGCACCATTTGGTAGCACTGCTGCGGACAGGCTCCCTCGCCTCCCCCCCGCCGCCGCCACAAGTATGTATACGAGCTGTTCTGTATAGAAGCGCTGCGCGCATCTCCAGAACAGTTCGCGTGGATACTTTCCCTTGTTCCGCTGCAGGCGCGGTCACGGAGGCCCCCCTTTTGAAAGAGCGTTTCAGCCAAAAAGAAAGCACGCGTATGTGTCCTTCTCCAACAGGTGCAACGTTTCGCATAATTGTTCCACCAAAGCGCACATTTCCTCACTCACGTCTCCTACATCAACTCCACTGGAAGCAAACAACCCACTGCAAACGTTGTAGAGCAATCTGGCTGAAGGCAAACCTCCTTCAACATGCCTTTCCACAACGGGGCAGCTGCCGCTGTCAATCGCGGCACGCTTCCGTTTGAAATATTTTTATTTTTAATTGCTCTTTTGAGGATTAATTAACACACCCTCAATGTTATATCTTGTATAGACATGCATTAAATGCAGATCTAGTAGAGAGTTTTAGTAGATCGTTCTCATGCCCCCGATAACGATACCCGATACTTGACCGACGCTTACGCGCATGCATCGTATCGCTATCGGGTATCGTTATCTGAGTTAGCCGCAACGATCTACTAAAACCCTATTCTTTGTACGTATCGTTGTGGCTCTAAGGCGGACAGTACCTAGCGGTGATACCTTTTCGAACCTCACAATGAATTCCAATGATACGCCAATAGCGAACATTTCATTACTTTAAATAATACTCACATGCTCGTAGCTCTTAATGGGCCGAAAACAGCAATTCAAAGAACGTTCGTCGGTATTTATTTCTCCAGCAATCTTAGTCCGAACAGTAAACTCGAAATTGAAAGTGCGCGTAGCTTTCGAAAATTATTTGATCTGCACTATATATTCTCTCACAAGTTGAATGCACAAAAACCATCGCGAATATAAAACGACCATATGCAGTATTTAAGCAATATATATATATATATATATAAGTCAAAGATGCGTAGCTATGCTACAAGATTATTGTATGTAGTACGACAGTTTCGCCGACAGGCTCGGCTTCGTCAGGGGATGGCATACATATGTGTCATCTCCTGACGAAGCCGAGCCTCTCGGCGAAACTGTCGTAATACATATAATAAACTCCCTAGCATATAGCAACTCCGCATGTACGGATCTCTGACTTATTACATTTTTCCGGGCCATTGTTCTCAAGCTACTCTGCCTCACCCATATATATATATATAGAGAGAGAGAGATAGATAGATAGATATATATAGATATATACGGGCCGGTTGGACGTGAAACGAAAGTTGAGGAGTTCCAGGAAAGGTCTTTACTTTATTAACGTTTCAAGCGGGGACCGCTTTTCTTCAGGGTGGGATACAGTGTCGTCTTCTAGTTGACGTTCGTGTGGAAGAGGAAGAGTGACTACGAAGAGTATTAAAAACATTAGGAACAGGAGGAACAAAATATTGTAAATCTTCGAAAATAGTAATTATAAACAATAATTGAAATTATTAAAACTAAATAAATTTATTTGCAGCACTTGCCAGAGTCCTTGTCACAGTTCTTAAGCACAATCACCCCCGAGCAACCGGAGCGCACACAGAAGTAGCTTAGAGGATATGTTCGGGAACGACGACGTCCTCGCAACACTTCTCAGGTTAGTTTTAGAACAAAACAACTTCGAATTCGAAGGAAGACATTTTCTACAGACTCGGGGAACTGCAATGGGTACAAGGATGGCCCCTTATTATGCAAATCTTTTTATGGCCGATCTAGAGTCACGCTTCTTGTCCAGTCGCTCTCTGCAACCTCTGTTTTATAAGCGCTACATCGATGATATCTTTATGGTATGGGCACACGGGGAGTCAGCACTCAGAGACTTTTTTCAAGACTTCAACGTTCTCCACCCCAGTATTATGTTTTCGCACCGTTATCCTAAAACGAGCATTGATTTATTTGACGTGACAGTAGAGATCAGCAGGAATGCTCTTTCAACAAAACTTTTCGGGAAGACGACGGAAAGTCAACAGTACCTGCACTTCAAGAGCTCTCACCCTAAACATTGCAAAACAAGTATTTCCTTTTCTCAAGCGCATTGATTCCGAATAATATGCTGTAACTTAGATGAATTCGAACGCAACGCCGGCAATCTGAAACTCGTGCTATCTAAGCAGAATTATCCACCAACCATTGTCGATATCCCTTACAAAAACGGGTCTCAACATTCTTTTTAATTTTTTTAGACTTATTGACTTTCCGCGATCCTACTGAATTCCTTTTTAAACTCACTTTGTTTTGACTATTGTCAAAAAAACTTTCAAAAGAAAAAATATTGAATTTTTTGTAGACTTATTTATAAAAAATTAAAAAGAACTTGTAAAGACGTTTTTCTATAGGATATTTTCTAAAAAAATTCAAAAGGAAAAACAATAGATTTTGTTTTGTAGATTTATTTATAAAAAAAATTAAAAAGAACTTGTAAAGACAATTTTCTGTAGATTATTTTCTAAAAAATTTCAAAAGGAAAAACAATAGATTTTGTTTTGTAGACTTATAAAAAATAAAAAAGAAGTTGTAACAACGTTTTTTGTAGGTTATTTTCTAAAAAATAAAAAGAAAACCTATTGACATTATTTCTTTATAATATTTTATAAAAAGAGACATTTTTTTATTATTTTATTTGGTCTGCGGTCGTGTGCGGGGTCCGATATGACGGTTTTTTTTTTTTTACTTTTTATTGAAAATGTGTTGACTTCTTCTTCACTTTGATTACTTTATTTCGACTGGCTTCCTGTTGACATGATCAACAAAAAGTTTGTTGATTTTGTGTTGAAACTTTTTTATGATTTTCTATTGACTTTCTATTAACTCTAGGTTGGATCTTTTTTCTGTTGAATTCCTGTTGAAAGTGTTATCAGAAATGCTGCAGACGTTCTATTTACTTCGTGTTTAAATTATTCAGTTGACTTTCTGTAGCCAGTGTCAAAAGAAAAGCTACAGACTTTTTGTTGACTTTTTATTGAACATAATACATCATGACTAAATGTCAAAAGTCACTAAGTTTCTCAATAGTCTCTGACAAGTTGAGAACCATAGGGAGGAGCTTCCGTTCTCCTGCCTCCAGCGCGAGCCTTCTATCCTTGACAACTCTTCGACGTCTCGCGCCCCTCGAGCTCGGCTGCGCAGTCAAAGCACGACGGAAGGCATGGGGCGCGTGCTGGAGGGCAGGCGTTCGAAAAACACGCCCTGCCGTTCTCACTTTGTAAATTACAATCGTTGCATTATTGACCCTATTCAAGTAGTAAAGAAGAGCAAAATAACTATTTTAAAGTGGAGCAACCGCTTTGACTGGCTTCGTCCCGAGTGGTGCTATGCAGAGAAGCGATAAACATTTGTTCCATGAGCCGTTTTTGTGGATGTTGTTTTAGCGACTACACGAAATTATTATTCGTTGTACCAATGCTTTTTAGTAAGAGATAGAGTCCACGAAGTTCGAAACACTGTCTTTCTTTGACAGACTTTCGAGAAGGAGACCGGAGACTTGGAAACTTAGTAAGTGCTGAGGTGGTCACCGGCCAAATGATTACCTTCAATATGTAGGCTATATAAGGCTCTGGTGCTGTCAACAAGACTGTGTTTCTGGTGTTGAGTGCTGGATGGTGTTTGTGTTTATTTACATTGCTTATTTGTGGGATGTGTATGTATCAAAAAGGCACTATTTCCTAACGAAATTAAAAAAAATATATATTAAAAAATTTAGTGTTTTTTTAACGTTAATCTGCGGTTTTGTCAAAAGGATTTCAACAAAATTTATGTAAGAAGGAATTCAAAAGAATGTATGTAAGAAGGAGTTCTAAAACATTTAAGTGGCCAATTTTAACTAGGAGTTAAATAAGTTGTCAAAACAAAGTCTAAAAAACATCAAAAAAGTTTAAAAAGAAATTCAATAGAACTCCAGAAAATTTTCAACAAAAATTCAAAAGAATTTAACTACAGATTTTTGTAAGTGTAAGGCCATTGAAAGAGCACAAGCCCTCGACCAAGAACAAATTATCAATCAACCCCAACCTAAAATGCCACAAAACCAGCACGCAAACCTGGTAGATACATATTCAGCCCGCCTTCCATATCTAAACAATATCCTCAGGAAACATCACAGAATTTTGCAGCAAAGCGATAAACTACGCACCCTTTTTCCGCAATCACCACGTGTGGTCTATCGACGAGGTAAAACAGGACTTCAGACATTTCTGGTTGTAGACCTTGCCAGACGCCCAGGTGTGAGATTTGCGAATATGTAGAAACCACCAACCTTGTCATTAGCGCGAACTCTGGCTCCTTTTACAAAATCACTGGAAACCTCAACTGTAGTACGCGTAACGTTATTAATCGTTCACGCGGTAAATATATGTAACATGGATTAACAGGACAAACCAGTATTTCATTTCGGTGGCGCTATAATAAACACAAATCTCACGTCAAGTCCATACCCACGCTCCCGTTCTCAAGGCATATGAATCTTAAAGACCATAGCATTGAAAAAATACGTATCATCCTTCTTGAATCTGGGTTTAGCCCATGATCACGATAGAGAATTGAAGGCGGCTTTTTTCTTTCACAAATTCAATTCGGTTGCTTGTGGCATTAACGCAAGTCCAAGCGTACTCACTTGGCTACGACGGTCTGTGTAGGGCCGAAGCCACACGATTATTTTGCTTCTGCACACACTGCTCTAGTCGAGCGCGTCTATTACATTGTTGCGCCAAAGGCGACTGCCATCGCGAATTCATTCCACGCCTCTCGTGAACACCCTCGTGAGCGTGCGTCCCGTGGCAATCCTTCCGCTGCGTTGAATTCCTGAGCGCGTAAGCATAACTAAAATATGACATACATACTTCACAAAAAAAAAAAAAAAAAAAAACGCCAAGGCACTCTTGCGCTGTCTAGATCTCCGTTCTCGAAGCGGCGTTAATCCCGAACACATCCCTAAACTACTTCTGTGTGCGCTCCGGTTGCTCAGGGCGATTGTGCTTATGAACTGTGACAAAGACTGTGGTAAATACTGCAAATCAATTTATTTAGTTTTAATGATTTCAATTATTATTGTTTATAATTATTATTTTCAAAGATTTACGATATTTTTTTTCCTCCCGTTCCGAATGTTTTTAATACTCTTCAGAGTCACTCTTCCTCTTACACACGAACTTCAACAAAAAGATGACATTTTACACACCATCCTACCCTGAAGAAAAGCGGTCCCCGCTTGAAACGTTGGTGAAGTAAAGGCCTTTCCTCGAACTTATATATATATATATATATATATATATATATATATATATATATATATATATATATATATATATATATATATATATATATATATCCTGCTCGTCCCCACCACTAAACTAAAATACGTTTTAAAATGTGGAAAAAAAATTGCGGTGGCTTAGCTCGGCTATGCCAGGATATACGTAGCGTGAGCTTATGCGCGCAAAATGAGAGGCGCTATCAAGCGGCTCCGGTGCAGCGTCAGGCTTGACTACTGCGCAACGGAGGCGCACAGCTGGACACGCGGCGGCGCCAGTGCGTCTGCCGCGGCTATGACGTCACTCCTCTGGAATGCGCAGACCGGCGAGGCGCGCGCGGCGGCGGCTCCGGCGCGCCAGCTGTGCGCCGTGTGACGTCACTGCTCCTCGCGCATGCGCAGCACGGCTCTTTGGGAGCCACGCGAAACTGCTCAACCTCGGCCAGTGTAGCTCACGCCACAAAAAACCTATAAGGCAACAAACATTTTCGTAGCCATTGTAGCCACTGACAAGCTCGAGAAGAGCAAGAAAACAATGGCGCAAAATACAGATGGGACCATATTTTCCGGGTTTGAACTTGTGACACCACATTGAACAGGACCCTTATATCTGGATCGCATAATTACACTGGCAGGCATTTTACATTTGACCAACATTGCATAGGTGCAGAGAAATGCCCGGTGTTCCCCAATGTTCATTGCGTTTGGAATTTTAGACGACACATAAACTCAATTGTGGGTTCAGGCGGCAAAGGGATAATTTTAAAGCGCGCGCACAGTCCATTCACCACAGTATAGAATGCGAAGAAACCCAGTCCGGAAGCCATTTTTGCGGTCGAGCGCAGGTCGAGCGATGCGCGCATCAGGTACTTCACTAGCGCACGCCTTTGGCAAATTGATTTGTTGGCAGCTATGGTCGCTCACAGCTCTAAAGGAGCAGGGCATGGCGAAGCCTAGGCCATCTTATTATCACTCCTTAGCCAATGAGATTACTGCACCAGCCGATAAGAATGCCAAAGAACGAATCACGAAATGTGAACAAAGTGAGTCACACCTTTCGTTTCTTGAGCTATCACTGATTATAACATCATGCACAAGTATAAAGAAATAATCAACCTGACATTATTTTCTTGGCTGTTATGACCCAGGTCAAGAAAGCCATCCTGCTGTTTCCGGCCATCGAAAGCCTGGAGGAGTGTCCTCGTGTCAGCATCATATCCCCCCTGGTCACCTACCTTCGCCCCGTGACGGTGGCCACCCTGTCCGCCATCCGAGTCTTGCCACGCGCCATGCAGATGTTCCTCGTCCGGTTGTACATCTTCATGGCCACCTCGTGCAGCTCGCCCCACACCACGTCCCTCAGTGGGGCCACCAACTACTTCAAGCCGGAGTGCCTCATGGCCTGCTTCGTGTTCACCAGGGACATCATCGAGAACGTGAAAGAGAGGGACAATGACACCATAGCCCGGCACCTGGACAAGCTAACCGTGTACTACGGTCGGAACGACCACTGGAGTCCCGTCGAGTACCACGACGATCTGCGCCGGAGGTTTCCCAGTGCCGACGTGCGCCTGTGCGAAAGGGGCTTTCGGCACGCATTCGTCTTGGACAAAGGAGCCGAGGTCGGCCGTATGGTTTCTGACTGGATTGCGCCTCTGCTCAAGAGCTAGCACCGCACCGTCATTCTTTGTTCGTGGCAACTTCTGCGAGAAAGTTTTGCGTTCATCGGTGTTTTCTCAATTCCTTTTGTGTTGCGAACTGAAAATGAATGTGACACAGGTGGGTCTAGAAAGGCACCATTGTTGTTTTGAGAATGTTACAGAGAAACTCGTTTAACGGACCAATTTTCATAGAATAGTAATCCAGAGACGGTTTCGGTTGTGTTTTACACACCGATTGCACTAGAGAATGTCCAAAACATTGCGTACAGCTAAGCTTGTTGACAGGTTGGTTACTAGTACAGAGTATACACGCTCCACCTGCAGGTAACTCACAAAACTCACTTGCATTTAGGCACGGTGCTAAAGCAGATAATCGTCGTCGTACTCCCCTTTAGCTGCCGACAAGTGGAGTATATAACTATGGGTGCCTTAATCTGTGTCTTAGGTGGCGACACCAGGTCATTTAGTGACACCATCGCAGCTCTTTACTTTTTACTCAAGCATGTCAAAGACCATCTCGTGGCTCCTGCTCTTAGCCTTGAACAGAGCCTTGGCGCCATTTTTTGTCACAACGCTTTTCTATTTTGTCTTGTCCGCGTCAGCTGCCGCCAAGGGTTGCACACTGGCGCTTTACCTTATGAACATCAAATATGAGACGTCCCAGGAGCTGCTGGAGGTACCGAATGGTATACAACATCCAATCGTTTTATTGTTGGGGATGGGAGCATGGCACATTATCATAAGATAACCTTGTCAGTATAAGCTTCGATTACGGCCCCAAGACGGTTTGAGGCACCGTTTTATATGCCAAATCTTTCAAGTATGGTGGCCTCTCCTCCCTTGAATATATGATCCTACAATATTTAGTACCTCGTTTTTAGGGTTGCCCTCTACACCCTCTGTTGAGAGATGTCATACGATGCCAGTTCAAAGGCTGTACGGAATGAAGCTAAAGAACCACCCAGAATTTTCTGAGGCAAACACCGCCATGCAAAGATTCAACAGGGTAAAAGCAGTTCAACACAATACCAAATAGCCGAATGTTAGGAATTTATTTTCAACATAACTACGAGATAAGTGCGAAGTGCTATTATTTTGAGGAAATATATTGGTATTTCTGATCCGATTCAGTTTTGGATGCTTGGATAACTACATGTCTTTTTAAAGACTGGTAGATTTTTTAAAGTTGTCACTGGCCGCGAGTGTTACGCAAAATATCAAGTGCAGTCATTTAGTCATTCATAACAGTAATATAGTCCGCTCTGTTACTATGAATTCATTTGTTCGTGAACATTTTTGCTAGTCATTTATATTGTACCCTCAGATTTATATTGCATTCATGTACGTTGCTCGCGATGGAAGGGAACACCACATGTGCACCTTGCTTTCGTTGTCTATAGAAAAGTACAAATACTGAGAAAAAATAAACACCAAGCTTGATCACGCTGGCAAAGGCTAGTGAGCACAGAATGTGTGATAGGCCTTACATTTACCGGCGTTCGTCTGCGTTGTCCCTGGTGAAGGTTCTCCCTGCTGCTTCTGCCGTTTCTTACGTTCCCGATAAGCTCGCATACGTTCTGCGGCCGTCTGCTTCGTAGGAGCCATGGCCACGGTGGAAGAGAGAGGCCTCTGAACGGCGCTGCCTCACCACGAAGCTCAAAGGTTTGCCTCCATTTCCGAGAAGCGCTGTGAGATTGTGCAGCATAACAGGAGCTCGAGGGACCGTCCTTATTCACCCACACGCTTTCAAGGCCGCCAGGTGCGCGACTGTGCCCGCGCGAAGGTGTTGGCTTTCGCCTGCGAAAGCAAGCCCCGTCGCTCGATAGCTCAGTCGGTAAAGCACTTGGCTCACAATTTCAAGGTGATGGGTTCAAATCCTGCTGAGGACTTTATGTAATTCCGTATATAAGCTTAGTATTACTCTGGTGGACGTAACGCTTTTCGGTGTCGGTTTTTCGTTGCAGCCAAGCATCAGATCTCTTCTAGAAATTCGGTTGATAAAACACATCCTGTGTTAAACAAGTTATTGTGCCATAAACTGTAGCTGAAATGACTGAGCGATGAACAATATACCGGTGGCGCTACCCCGACGCGCAATCTGGGTGGCGACACCCACTGACCCCTGTAATTGGGTCAATCTGACGTGGCAGCCGGCCACATTGGGTCCTACCTATTTCCTTTAGAGTGTGTGGGTGTCATAGACCACATGCTAAATCCCGGAGTGCCCCGGCCCGCACTCGGGTCATTAAGAGAATGGTGTTCTTTCAGTTCCCTAGTGATCGGTAATTCCGACCAGTGTAATCCAGAGTCATCCTGTGAGTGTAATCCAGAGTCATCCTGAATAAGCGTCGTGTAGTCAAAACCTGTCACATCACTTTTAACATTTCTTGTCAATGTAAGCGTTCTTGATACTGTGCATGCCATCCATCCTTCAGTCTGGCCCGAGCTGCCAGGAATCTCTTACAATATTATAATCCTCGTACAACTTCAAAGACGATAATGTTAAAGGCGCCATGAAACGAATTTTGGGTTGGGATGAATGATTTTAAATTGGGACTTTATTAATCGCCTATCGTTTAGTTGGCCAAAAGAAAGAGGCTAAAAAATCAAAAGCCAGCTTTTCGGTACGAACATTTGAAAATATAGCGGACTATTTTGTACCTTCTTGGCCTTCGAAAGCTCTCCGCCTTTTCACTGTGATACATCCGCGGTTCCAAAAGCGCGTCACCGGCGCCAAACTGACGTCATCAGAGCCCAGGTCACGCATTGGACACGAGAACTGCGTCACTCGGACGTAATCGCTCGTCAACAATCAATCCGTCGACGAATATTTGGATTCGCGTTCGTGGCCAATGAGTGCCCTGACGGAACTTATTGTCACTGGGGAATTACAAGTTCTATGGTGTGCATAAAAAGCACGGTGGAAGCTGGGAGTCATCGCACCGGTACCGAAGGAATGTCACGAGCACGTGATTTCACGATTCGCATTTGAGTTGAGGATTAAAGCTGAGGAGGAAGAAGTAGGAAAATCGTTTCATGACCCCTTTAACTTAGAAACGCAAAAAAAAAAAAAAAAAAATGCTATAAACAGCCCCGCTGACTCCGAGCTAAATCCTGGTTTTGCTTGCGAATTCTTCGCTTCTTAAGCAATTCCTGCTAAAACAACAATCACGAGAATGATAATATTGTAAGAGATTTCTGCAGCTCAGCCAGGTTGAAAGCTGAATTGCATGCGCAGTACCAAAAACGCTGACATTGACGAGCAATTTTAAAAGTGATATGACAGGTCTTTGGACTCTACACGATGCTCATTCAGGATGACTCCGGATTACACAAAATTTGTAAACATCGAATTGATCAAAATTACTGATCACTGAAACTGAAGGAACACAGTTCCCATGATTCCTCGAGTGCGGGCCGGGGCGCTTGGGGATTTAGCAAGCGGTCGTTTGTTGCGTTTTAATGCGAAAGTATTAACTGTCCCACGGAGAGAACCGACGTCAGTTTTGAAGCCGGGCCAAGTAGCACCTTCCCTTGTCCCAATGGAGCGAAGCCTGTCGTCTGTAGCGGAAATCCGATGAATAGGCTCCCATTGGCTGGCGCACGTCATCAAGGAACGAGGCTCCCATTGGTTCTCGCGAGGCGTAGTTTAAAAAGAAACGCAACTAGAGGATCCCTCTCCATGGCGGCACAGCGCACGCAGAGGCCCGGCCGCCGGTAAGAGGTGCGGCGGTGAGGGCCTAGATGCACATCCCGCTCGGGCAAACTCCGGAGAGAGTGCACGGCCGAGCTCAGCGCAGCGCGGCCATTTAGTAGGGAGTTTTCGTAGATCGTTTTCGCCGTCCCGCAAGACCCTCGCAACCCGCTACGATAGCGGGAACTGCAGCCAAGGCTATCGGCGCGCAGGCGCAGTAGCAACTTCTTCGTTGCGGAACGCTTAGCGGAGGGGGCACCGCGGTGTACGAAAACTCCCGTCGGCCGCTACCCCGGCAGTTGCGAAACATGGCCGCCCACGCCACTACGCCGCAGACGAACTAAGGGAGCGGAAGAACGACAGTCATGCTTTCGCACTCACAGTAGTGCTTAGGTGTCCTCGGACTTTTTTAGCGTTATTACCAAATTGGAGTTTTCGTAGATCGTTTCTTCCATTCTGCAACGCTCTCCGCAACGATATCCGGAACTCTGCAGTCAAGGCCAGCGGCACGCATGCGCAGCGTCTTCGTTGCGGAGAGAGTAGCGGAGCAGGGGAACCGGTCAACGAAAACTCCGTATAGGTGGTATTCACTGAGCCTGCAGGTTCGATTTTGCCAGGGAGCGCCACCGTCGATCCGCCATCTTCGAGGTCTCGGTTTGACTGGCTACGCTACGCGGTCGTCCGCTGCTAGTGTGTGCTAATTTCATATCGTTGAAGCTTCGTTGAACAGAAGAGAGAAGAAAAGTTGGTCTCGGGGGCGGGCCGTTTTCCTTGTTGCCGCCAAGTACCGTGTGTAAAGGCTGAACCGCATGTAAGCAATTTTGGCGAGCGACGGGACGAGACGAGCGACAGCGACGAGACAAGCGACGACGACCCGCTTCGCTGTCGCTCGGTCACTCGCGCGACGTGGCGAACCGCATGAAAGCGACGGGAGCATGCGACCAAGGCGATAAGCGACCCTTTCTAGAAATCCAAAAGCCAAGCGACGCGACGACCGACCGCGAGAAATCTCCGTCGCTCGTCGCCGACCTCCGTCGCTGTCGCCATCGCTCGCTAAATCGCTTACATGCGGTTCACCCTTCACTGTCACTCGTCGCGTAGCTCGGTTTTGGGATTTCTAAAAAACTTAGCGCTCATCGCCTTGGTCGTGTGCTCCCGTCGCTTTCATGCGGTTTGCCTCGTCGCGCGAATGACCGAGCGGCAGCGAAGCGGGTCGCCGTCGTTTGTCTTCCCGCTCGCCAAATCGCTTACATGCGGTTTTTAAATCGCTTGGGCTAATGAAAATGCGCCGCATTTTTTATAAGCTGCGCACTCTGTGAGCCGCACGGTATGTTTCTGCACAGGAACGAACACCGAAGGCACGACGTATGTTGTACGACACAGCGGCGATGGAGCCACACGGTTACACGGCCGTAGTACAGAAAATCAGCTAGAGAAAAACAATAATGAAACTATCAAAATAAAACAAAGAGTAATCACACCGTGCTGCAAAAGCACCGAAGTAGAAAAATTAGTTCTTGCAAGAGCTACCGCCGTCGGCTCGGCGGGCGACACGGAGCGCTTCATGGAGCCGAGGGAGCAACGCGGCCGCGGTAAACGAGTCCGATTGCGACAAAAACAAACTAAAACACACAAAAAATACTCCCACGGCGCTTCAAAAGTACCAAAGTATAAGAATAACCCCTAGTTTCGATCAAAAAGACCCTTTAAAGTTGTAAAATACTGCTAAACCACGCTCAAAAGGTCCGGCCTGATGGCATTCGCGATAGCAAGAGACCTCGAAGATGGCGACCGCGGTGGGCGATGGCAGCGAACCTAGCGAGTGACGTCAAGTGAATGTCACCTATTAGGAAGGTTTCGTAGATCATTTTCGTTGTCTTGCAACACTCTCCACAACCCGCTACGATTCCCTGGCGTGCAAATGCAGTAGCGGCTTCTTCGTTGCGGAGGGCTTAGGGGAGGGGCAAACTCGGTCTACGAAAACTCCATATTAAGGAGTTTTACCCGGGTGACACCCCCATTAAAGGAGCTGTGCAACGATTTACCTCTGAAGTGAACTTCAGAAAAAAGATTTTGCCTGGATACCCTAGTTTTTTATTAAAAAAAAAAAATGAAAAAGATCCAGGTTTTTGCCGCCTCTCAACTCGTACGTCGTCTTCCGGGTCACGTGCGCAGTGACGTTGATGAGGTAGGCGCGGGGTTCCGGAAAAGTTCTCTCTTTAGAGCCATCAGTGAGCAGCGAGAACTCATCCGCTCGCGATTGCGTGACCACGTGCTGGCGGGCGCAGCGCGAACAATATGGTGAATAGCATCTTGCATGAGCATTCATATTTGTCCTATTTTGATTATTTACTTCGAATTTTTTATATGGGGAAGGCAAGTGTGTGTGACACGTAGACATACTTTCGCAGCATTCTCCTTGATGCTTGTAGAATTCAGCAATTACGTTTATCGATATGCCAATAAAATGTCCTGCCAACCCTTATAAAAATACTCCCAACATTGCTAGGCGCTTTTTCGTTATATGACACAGGATCCTACTAGGGTGCAAACAAAGGAGATTCTTGGCAGCATACCTCCGATGATTCGATTCATGATGCTGGAGAAATATGCTGTTAACACTTTGATGCCCAGAACTTTACTTGAAATACTGGAGACCTAAAAGTATTGACACGGTTTTAAAACACACAAAATAACAGAAATCTGGTCTCAGAAAAAAGTTACATTTTTTCATAATTATGTTTTTGAAATGTTGATTGCGAGCATCACAGGGCATTTGCAGTATTATTTTACGTTCAATGACTGAAATCGGTTACGACCTGGGAGAAGGCACAGGTACACTTCGCATTTTGCACAATAGAGATACTTGTAACTGAATTTGCAATATTTGCGCCTGTTTTTCTTCTCAAGAGTTTCGAGGTCAGTGCTGCATGCCATCATAGCTCACATCCCCTGTCAGCTTTGGCTTTAAAAGACAAGATCTGTTTTGAAGATGCAATTCGATCCTTCACTCCTAAGTGCAGGCATCCTCGCCCTTGCGACAGAAGGCGCTAAATTTATTGAGGCGCACGTGGCGTGAGAGAAAGTAAACCAATCTTGAGGTGCTGCTCCTGAGCAATACTGGGCATCAAAGGGGAAAGCAAGTACAAAGGTAGTTTCCTTTATTTTGAAGGGCCCATGCAAACATGTGTGGATAGTCAAACAACACAGGGTAATAAAGCAAACTGCAGATTTATGCCATTGAAATTATTACAAACTCAGAGGCATTGTTCCCTCAACATAAATACAGGAAAAATGGTTCACTCCAGCAGGCAAGCAAACACACACGTGGCCCCTCCCTATAATGCGGCTCGAGAATGTTAAATAGCATATAAGCAAGCTCAGTTAACAGAGCACCGAGATCAGCCTTATTGGAACATGGCTACTACGTCCGTCAAATCAACTATTTCTACAATGCAAATGTATTTACAATGCACAAACATAAAGAACAAATGAAAGAGTTCCTTTTGGGTCATTGCAACCCAGTGACATCAACAGTAACACAAGCACTGGTAATACGGTGCCTCGAACGCCTCTTTGAGTGGCGCATTCGCTGCATCTTTGCTTCGTTACCTCGATTTCTGCCCGGCGACGTTACGTCTCCGTAATGGTGCGGATCGCCGCAATCCTCGTGGTGGCAAAGCGGCGGAGCTGGAAACAGTGGATTGCTGTTGTGTTGTAGTTTGCTCTGTGGCTGACCGGTCGACAAACTCCGGCGGCCACGGGTCGGGAAGCCGCAAAAACAGTGATCCCCGTGACTGCTTGTTTTCTCACTGGTGCCTCCACAACCAACCACCAGGACTGCAATAACTTGCAGCGATCCTGGTGCCAGGCAGCTCCCGCAAAATGTGTCGTTGAAATTTCGGCCGCGCTCCGAAGCAAGGACGCTATAATGTGCTAAGCGCACCGGCCGAAGAGGCGTTCTAGGCACCGCACTAGTGCAGCTAGAGTTTTCGTCTTCGACGGAGGCCATCAGGGTGCCGATTCGCTGAGACCGAAAGCGACGGCCAAAATCTCCCTTGACCGCTTCAGCTCTTGTCTGTCCGCTCTCCAGTCCGTGCTGGACAGTGCTCGTAAGGCGTCGTCCAACCTGCTGCCTTCGAGCACGGTATACATCAGGAGTGCTTCGCCCAGCCTAGCGGCCGTGGTGACGCGCACTCTTTGAGAACGGTGGTCCAACGTCCGGAGCACGTTGATCAGAGCCCCCTTCCGGCAGTCGCCTTCGAACTGGAGCAGGCTGCTCAATACACCCACCGCTGCCTCCACTTTGGGTATGGCCTTCAGCCTGAGGTGAAATACGTTGGGCAGAAATCAGTGGCCAAATAGGAAACTGCTCGAGACACCCAATTAAGCTTACAGAGAGGCTACAGTATTTAATGTATTGTGACGACCTAACCGGACGGTGCGTCGACTTCACCCTCTGGCATCATTGCCGCCAAGATTAAACGGTGTCCAAGAGGGTTATGTTCGCGCTCTATTGCGGGCCATTCAATGTTGGAGCTACGAAGTAAACTGTGAGAAAACCGCAGCTGTCTGTCTTTGTCGCAATATCATTTAATGACTGTCATCTCGGATGGATGTTTTATACCAATGACACCAAATCCTTTCGTGAATGGCACATAGTTGACATACAGCTTTTCGGTGATATGCCTTCGAATGAATTAAACTTAAAAATAAGCTGAACTATTTCAATTCGATGTGTCTGCTGACGTGACCGCATCTGTGGCCACATTGTAACCTAATAATGTAAAATTCAGAGCCATGCAGTAACTTGGAGGGTTTGCATGACTCTGCTTGTGCGTGACTGGTGAAGACAAAGCAGCGCCATTTCGGAAACTTACCTAAGCCCTTTAAGCGCCACAAGACTCTGCAACTTCACCAGAAACTCTGAAGGCGCATCGGCGAATGCTCCCGATGTTATCAGGTGATCCAAAGCGTTCAGGTACTGCAACAGAGCCCTGTGAACGAAGGTCTTGTCCAGAAACAGCGGAAGAAAAAAGTTAAAGTAGACCAGTTCTTCCTGTTCCTTGTCCCCGTGAATCGACAAAAGGTATGTCACAAGGGCATCTCTTCCATTTGAAAACTGAAAAAAAAAAAAAAAAAGAGACAAGAGCTTTGTGAGACAAACAAAATAAAGACCAAGAGCTCCTTTCATGGCCTGTTAGTGTTGCATACTACTTGGCACATTTGGCACACTAACCTGAAGACCCCTGCACTAAGTTAATCAAAATGGGTGATGCAATTCATATAAATAGCAATTAACAAATTTAAATCTCTAGCAAATAAAATTGCAACTCTTATATCAGTCGATGTCTTTGTGCCTCCTATTTGACACGACCTGCTAAACATCCATGTACTACATATAACTACCCTCCTGGTGACCCAGTGTCCTTTAAATACTGCAGCAACCGTATATAACAAAGCCGGTTGTAACGGAATAGCAGCTATAACGAAGCAATCAGAATTTCCCATTCCCGTTTGCACTTTTTCAGTGTATTTGAGCAGCTACCCAGAACGGGTCGCAGACGTGCTGCAAAGGCCGCCGGCGGCAGCCTCTGCATCGTCGTCTGCTCCCCTCTCCTTATCTAGGAAGCGGCTTTTCCGCATCGCGCGCGGAGAAGTAGTGGTGTGCCAAGAGGGCTGTTCGGAGCGACAGCAACAACGTGCCGATGGAGAAAGCCTAGATTTAAGAGAGGGAGCAACCCCATCCATGGCGAGCATTTTTAATTCAATGGCAGACTCCTCCCGGGCAGATTGGCCCAAGCTTGCCTGCATTTTGTTTCTTGTGGCCAGCGTGGCAAGGACATCGGTGGAGAGGCGAATATATTTGCAGACAGTGAATGCTTTCGACTCCTTGCAGGCTGCAGCTCGAATTTTTCAAATGCGGCCCACAAACCACGCGACTCCGATCGACCAGTTGCCAGGCTCTCTATGCAGACGAAATACAAACTTGAGCCCTTGAGCGCAAACTCGGTGCCCTGCACACTTCTTTGTTTGCCTGGTGTTTCGTGTCAGCGTCAGTAGTCGGTGTGGTTGCTCCCTCCTTGAAACTCTAGCCTCCATCAAGCACTGATTCGGCGAATCATCGCCATTCAACGATGGCAAGTCCCGGCACCTCGACGGGAAAAGATGGAGGCAATCTCCTTGAAACAAAAGCGTGTTACCATCCTCAACAAAGTGCGCATAGACGTAAAGAATGCCGTCCTCCGCAGCGGCCATCGCAGCGGTCAACACGGCCCGTACGTAGTCGCAGGTACTTCTTTCGATCGGAGCTTCCCACAGTTGCCGAAAAGCGGCTCCAACCTAGCAGAGAGCACGAGCAGGGAAGCCTCAGCGGCTTTCTGCAGGCACGATAAGCATGTGCTCAAATCTTATCCTCTTTTTTTTTTTTTTTTCCGTGTTATTTTTATGGTGTCCAGATATAACGGAGAAGTTGACTTCGTTATAGCCGGTCTCGACAGTAAATAAATAAATAATGCTCCAGATAGCCTCACAACAAAAATTGCAGCGTCTGAACACAAAGAAACAGGTTCATTCTAAAGATGTCACACCATCTGCAGAAAGTAAGTAGTGCCAAGCGCATTTTAAACAGTTCTACCTATGTCCAACTGATGAGCTATTGGATTCAGTCGAAAATTTTTTAACTATAGTATTGGGATATTTCAGTCATTTATACTTTGCCAAGCAGTGTAATTTTATTAATTAAACAGTAATTCCTCATAGTGGTCAAACAAACATACTGAAACAATGGAGAAATGGGCCAGGGCTGGAGTTTACTTCACTAGATGGGCATTTTTTAACAGACACACACTGTGGAACGGATATGTTTGAAAGTATTCTTTATTTTGTGATCTGTCTTGTAAAGTTACATTCTCAAATAACTATTTAACCCTTTAACCCGCAGATCAACAATATTGTAGACCTAAGTAAAAAGGACACTAAAATAAGGCGGAATCCAAATACAAACACACGCCACTAAATTTAGCTTTTTTGAGACACATGTTCTTTATAACAGTTGATAAAACTATTAACAAAGGGCGCATGCTGCTGCATCAATGGCCAAAAGCACGGGTTTTGTCGTTATCTGGCGTTTCTGTATTGGCCACATTCTGACCGCTGTGCGAAGCGTTTATCTCAAGTGAGCGAATTAATATTTTACACCTTCAAAAGAGCAAACATCGGGAGCACGGTATAGAAATATTGTTATGTTTAGGTGCTTGAAAGACACGCACGCGGTCCGCGATCATAGTCAACAAAATTGTTGAGCTGCCAGTTCAGGGCAAAGAGGCGCACCTCACGCTGGTACATTGAAAGTGTTGCAGGCATGCCGCTACGGCTTTGGTATTGAAATTATTTATCGACAATAGCGCTCGTATCAAAACTGAAGTGGTGGGTAATGTTTAGGTGTACATTTTATGTCCTAAGCACAAGAAGGAAAACACTTACAAAACGCTGTGTAAGTGCTTTTTTTGCGTGTGTGTGTGCTTGCGACTTTAGAGTATCTGTTTCTCTAGTGCACTGTTGCTTTATGTCCTAGTTCCCGCGTGGTTTCTTAGAGATGATTTTGTGCAGCAGGTAACATTTATTCATTTAGAAATAAGACTTTGCTTATTGATCTGGTTGCAATTCAGGAGTAAACTTCTTTTTGTAGCCATAAACAAGGCTACGTTCTACGGGAAACCCAGAGCAGAGCGAGGTGTAGCACTTGTTTCGCTGCACCCGAGTGACTCTGAGCTTGACTCAAGCGATCACAACGTACCTCGTGAAACAGAAGGTGCGGACACACCAGAAAGGTCACCAAGCAAAGACGAATGCGCGACCACAACCTTTTATTTCAATGCGGGAACCGGTTCATTGTGTCGTAAACGCTCGCTCACAGCTGCTAGCACCTGCCCTCCAAAAAAAGAAAAAGAGCCGTAGCCATGCGCTCGTTCCTGTTCCCGTTCCTGACGACGAGGAGGATGAGGGACCACAGAGATCGGGTAAGGTACATGCCACATCAAGAAAATAGAACAGAGCTAACCCAACCTGCAAGTTCCAGAAAGGTTCATGAACCACCTCATGAGGTGGTGACACCGTACGCCTACTTCACGTCCATGTTCACAGCCGAGTTGATTGAGCTGAGAACTTTCCAGACAGACATATACAGCACATAACAGCAAGGAACTTCTATAAAAACAACGCCCGAGGAAATCCGAAGCTTCTTGGGTATACTCGTGCTTATGGGCGTCTACATTTTTCCTTCACTGGAAGACTGCTGGTCACGGGACAGACGATTTCCCCCAATCGCTGACAACATGCCGTTGAAGAGGTTTCAGCAACTGAGACGTTACGTGCACTTAGCAGATAATCTTGCTCAATCTGTGAGTGGTGAGCGGTTCTTCAAGGTGCGGCCTTTGTTTGAAAACTTGAGAACACAATTTTTGAGAATTCCAGCAAAAAGCAAACGCAGCATGGACGAGGTGATGGTAGCCTACAAAGGCACACGTGCAGAAAACCTGGCATAGTGTGTCCGAAACAAGCCACAGAAATGGGGTTTCAAAATTTGTTGCAGACCCAGCTCCACAGGAATCATTCATGACCTCCTCCTGCACCAAGGGTACATTCTTCAACGTACCCCTCTTGCCTAATAATGAAGGTCTCCTGGTTGGCGCAAAGGTCGTCCAGCGGTAAAATTGTTTGTGACTGCCACAGGGAGGCCCAGGTTTTGTTACCATCAGTGCACTCCCGCTGATTTTGACCCGTATCTTTACCCCTAACTGGCAGATCAACAAAATTGTCGACCTTTTGTATCTAGAATAGTATTCGATGAAACAGTTTCATATTTATTCTGGTATGTATTAGCGTGTTGCAGAGAGGAAATAAAGGTCCGGAAAAATTCTAGTCTCACTCTTTCTTATCTTGCCAGTTAAAGGGTTAAGAACCTGCCAACTCCGATTAAGCCTACGTTCTTTACAGTATTTACTCGCATAATGAACACACTTCTTTTTCCGAAAAATTGACACATATTTGGGGGGTGCGTTCATTACATGGGGTAAAAGTTTTGCATTTACACACTTATCGCGAATGTCATTTTAGGTGCCAATATGACATAGCAGGGTACTAAGGCAAGTCTCCACTGACAGAGGCACACCCATGACTCGTCGTGGGTGCGCCAAAGTAGCCATGCTCTATAAATTGCTAACCTTTTTTAGGGCGCTTTTGGCATGCTTTTTGCCAAAAAAAAAAGTGCCCTATGAAGCTTATTAGCACGGAGAGCAACGCAACTGTTTTTAGGCCTAACCATTTTCATGATGTTGCTGTCCGAAAGCGGATCACAGACAACGGCGTGTTCGTTGACATCAATGCTTCTGATGAACGAAGCACGTCCAGGGCTGGATGTGCTTCGTTGACCCCAGCTTCGGTAGGCGTGCCTGCTGCTCGGTTTCACGGTTGATCACTTCCGCAACCACGCAATTGCAGCCATTACGAGAGTGGTTGGCTTGGCTTGGCTTGGCTCGACTTGGCCTGGCAGCTTGGCGGCAAAACGAAATTGGCTTCAAGACTCGCGGGGCCGAAAATGAAAAGCGAGTTCATTATGCGAGAAAAAGAAAAAAGTCCTAATATTGATGCCCGTTTTGGGGGGTGCATTCATTATGCGAGTAAATACAGTAGTCTATGTTTAATTTAACTGTAGATAAACTCAAGGAGCTGTTTCACCATTTTCCCCAGGCAGAGGCATTCTTCGTACAATTAATGAGCTGTCAACATGTGCCATTCCTAAGGTACAAGGGCCCTCCCAAATCATTAATGTTTTCAAAACTATTGTCCTCTGGTGAGTTACATTACTTGATGCAAAATTATAAGCTTCAAATGGTGAGAAAAGAATAAAACAGTACTTACGGGTGCCTCAGACATGCTGCCTGTGCTGACCAGAAACCCCCTCAAGAGAGGCTCTCGATAAGCCCTCAGGGAGAGGAACTGGCTCCAGTAGGGGAATGTGTGCCCAGCATGGAGGAAGCTTGCCCGCTGCCCAATGTCTTCCGGAAGCATCTCGCGTGCCTCGTTGCAATGAGGAATGTGAGGCACATCTGGTTTGCTGCAAAGTCAGACGAACTGGTTCGGTCACACAAGAGGGGCTATACCAGCAGTACCAGCAGCTTGCTCTTCTGCTCATGCAAGGGAGAGGTATTTCACTTCAAGGACAACGTGGAGAAATTCAACCTTGTCATTTTACAACTGGATACAAGCCAAGAATCTGCTAGAAGCTCATCTGACACCCTCATTACTTGCAGTTTCTCACATGAAGGATCGTTCACACACTTGCAACCGAGTACCACTGTGTGAGACAAGACCGGTTTTTAAGCCTCTTACGACGGTGTAGGATCAGATGCGCTGCTGCGGAGCAGGTCCTAGGCCGTCGCAAGACACTTAAAAACCGGTCTTGTCTCTCTCCGTCCCACTCCGTTGCAAGCGTGTGACAGGCGCTTGACTCGCCGTGGTTACTGCCTTTCCCGACTGGTCTGCAAAGCGATCCGAAGCCGTGGCTGTTACGTGGTGCCGCATATTTGGCGCATTCTTATTAACTTCTACTCAACAAAAGCCAGTGCACCCCAAAGCAAAAGATGAGGTTTTCCCCGATTCGCTTGCCTCAAATTAGCCTTAAAACTACGAGGTCTGACACAGCAAACCGCATCTTTCATTAAAATTTGAATTGATTTTGTTGCACCAACAACTTTTGCGATTTACCAAAATCTTGCATTCAGAGAAAGGTGACAATCGGCGGTACACCAAGAGCAGTGGCAATACCGTTTAAGGAGCTGTGCAAGGATTTCAGTTGCAAAGTTTGAGTTGGTGTCTCAACCCTTCTAAAATAATAATAAAGAAACAAAAAAAAAAACGCCTTTGCTTGCATAATTTAGTTTTTATTTTAAAAAAAACGACAAAGATTGAGATTTTCGGCACCTCTCAACTCCCTCCCCTTCTTCAGAGTCACGTGCACTGTGACGTGAAAGGAGGCGCGTGGGGTTCCGGTGAAGCTCTCTCTCTAGCGCCATCAGTGAGCATCAAGATCTCACCCGCTTGCGACCACATGACCACATGCTTGCGCCATCCGATTGAAGCAGATAGAGCTGACTGTTTTGTTGACCTCGGATAGATGACACCACTGAAACTCCGTATAATAAAAATTTTGTCGATGATATCAGGTTTTTGACGCATTTATATTTATGTTGGAATGACAAGATCTATCAAAAAAATTACCGCTCATCGAGCAGGTAGTTGCACAACTTGCTATATTTTTACAAGTCCCCCTTTGACGTCATGCTGCGTGATTCTCATGGCCGCCACTCACGGGTGCAGATCGGGAAATACTAAAATGTTTGCCTCGCGATTACGCAGCGCAGTCTCAACATTTTGAAGGAAGGAGTTGTGCTTTCTGTCTTTTGTGACAAGATCAAGAATGTCAAAAGTACAAGATGCAGATTCTTTCAACATTAAAACTGTTGCACAGCCCCTTTAAGAAAGTGGCAGCAGTTCCTTTATGTGAATGCCTCACCTGTGTAGGATGGATAGAAATGTCTTTGTTGCATGGACACGAAGGTTATCCACAGGCTCCACACACTGTTGTGCTAGAGCACGCATCATTTCAGCCACAAAGGTTTCTGGGAGTATTTCAGGAGCCACTGATGCGAAGTAGCAGACAACATCCTTCAACAGACAAATATCCTCAATAAGGTAAGTGTCCTAGGCATTTAATGTGGCAAGTGCAGTTTATAAATCATGCTTTTACACCAGAGCACAAAAGCTTGTGGCAATGAACAAGTTTCTTCTTGGCCTGCTACCTCTTAACTCTTTCAAAGATTTTCTTTTTTTAGTTTTAGAACAAGTGTTTTTAATGGTTGGGTTTTGATTTTCCCAAGGGGGTACTAGCACAAGAATAAGTCATTGCCCATCTCTCGTTTTAATTCTCCAACCAGAGCACTTAGTACAGTGCTCTGGTTGGAGCACAGTACAGTACAGATTGAATGGAAATACTGACGGAAAAAGTTAACTACTTTCTTCCATTCGATTTCAATTTGGTGCATCAGCTTCCAGTGTGCTTCTACCACAATTCGGCGGCCTGGGACTCCGAACTAGAAGTACTTTACAGAGTTCCTTCATCAAATGATGAGCCCTCATTTTCTGAATTTAATTCCAACAAGTGTTGGAAGTCAGAATCAGAAGAGCTGTGGCTCCACTTGCCGCTACGGCTGGAGCAGCCAAGCAGCCATGAACCGGCCACCTCGAAGGTGCCACCTCAAGCAAGCGGCCGCCTCGAAGACCACCTCGAGCGTATCCCTTGCACGAGCTGTCAATTTTCGTAACTATAAATAGCCCAGCAAAGCGAAACAAACTGCAAAGAAAATAACTACACTTTCCAAATGTATTACAGAAAGCAACACCTTTCGGGGTGTACGTGGTTTCGCGTTTAGCTGGGAAGTTTCAAATGTGCAATCACCAATGCAGTGGCAACCGTGCGAGAACGAAAGGAGGTGCCCGTTAAGTTTGTATTTGTTACAAGGAAGTTTAGGCAGTGAGAGGTTAGCACAAATTAAAATGGCATCTCATGTCTTCGCTGTAGAAGAGCTGTTTGGCCAGCGCAATACAACTGCTCATTTTTAATGTGTGCCATGCGGTATCGATGACACGAATGCATACTAGAATGGTGCACATCCAGACTGAAATGGGCAGGGATGGGGCTCAAACTGGAAAACTTTCTCATTGTGTGCGGAGCATGCCCATTGCGGAAACATAAAAAAAAAAGGAGCTGTATAAGAATGCAAGTAGGGTTGTGCGAATATTCGAAATTTTGAATAGCAGTTCCGAATAATACACTATTCGATATTCGCTTCGAGAAGAACTGCACTATTCGCGTTTTTCGAAGTGCTGATTGCTACGGGTTGGCCCCGTTGAGTGCGCTTCTTACCAAGCACCGGTGCGCTGCGGAGAAGCAATACTCGCGGAAACGAGCTTCGCGGGTGTTGCTTTTCCGCAGCGCACCGGTGCTTGGTAAGAAGCGCACTCAACGGGGTAACCAGCCGCGATAAACTTTGAAAAGTATGAATATCGTAACTGCGTGCTTGGAAGTAAAGCATACATTCAAAGCGGGATGGTGCACCTGTGCCGACTGTATTTGAAAATAAATGAAAACTTTGTGAATGTGTATATCTACATTGCAGTAAAAATGTTAAAATTAAACTGTTATGCAAGAGTATACTATGTTAGGCAGAGATGCCCTTACAACCTGCGTTCATCATGCACGATTCATTCTTTTTTAACTCGAGATTAAAGAAAGAATATTTTATATAGCAAGATTTGTAAATTAACTCCATTGGGTATAGTTGGCCATCTCTACAAGATTCATTTCATGTCAAATACGTTGTTTACTTGCCATCCCAAGACACCAGACCTTCTGAGGTCACAGATCATAAATATAGATAAATTAAACATAGCTTATAAATGAAGAAGTGGAACAACCATCACAAGTTTAGCTGGGTTTTCGTCTAAGCATTATGCAATAATAGTGAAAGGTGTGGAAAAACTATCGAAAATATTCGGCCAAAACTACTATTCGCTTTGAATTCGCTTCGAACTCAAAATCCACTATTCGCACAAGACTAAACGCAAGGTTTACAAGTACAATATATTGCCGCAATTTGTCGGAATTGCTGACACAGTCAAAGCTTTGACATCTTTGTTGTCTGCATTGTGTAAAGTCGCATTAAGTCGCTGCATTATACAAACTAATAAAAAAAACTAAAAGTAAGTTCTGTTAGGGAAATCATTGAGCACGTTTCCCAAATTCCACAGTTTGTTCCTCCTTTCTTTATGCCATTCAATTCGGTTGTTATTCATCTGATAAGCAACCTGTGAACTCCAACTGAAAAGAAACAACTGGCCTAATGAGGCATAGCGCAGCCTCGAACACACTCCCCTCGAGGGCCGCTCCACTCCCGCTTTACCTTGAAAGCAGTCATGCAGGCCATCCGCACAAGAGCGCCGAGATCTCCTTTCATGGGGCTCTGGCTGTAGTCCTCCATGTTCTTGAGGAGAATAGCCACGAGGTGACCTAGGTCGGGCACTCCAGCGGCGCCTCCAGCCCCCATCGAGATGTAAAACCTCGAGAGGGCGAGGACAGCTTCTTTACGAGATTCCACGTGCTCGTAGCCTTCCGACGAGGCGCAAAGGCACAGGCCCTCCAGAATGGGCACCTGGTAGGCCCTGTGCATGAAGCTGGGCAGCGCTCCTGGCAAATGGAATCGAGAGAATAAGGAGTCATGAAAGGCATTTGCCTGCTCGGCAGTCCCTGCTCGTAAGACAATCGTATCGTGGGGTTGTGGAATTCGTCCTCTGTTGACGCTTTCCATCAAAAAGGTCAGAAAGCTCTCAAAAATGGCGCACCCCCAATAGACAAGACGCATCGATGCCCTGTTCTCAACGGTGCGCGGCAAGGAAGTTAATAGAACAATAACCGAAAAGGGACGTGTGCGCCAACATTGCTCAGTTGTTCACATAGAGCACTGCAACTATGGCGCAGTACCTAAACCTGCCTCGGGTGTGCCGACAGGCTTAGAATACCCTCATAAACTAGCCATAACCTCGCGATATGTTAATACCTTTGTTTTCATTTGTTTGTTCCATATACCTCGAATGACTGGAACAGCCCTCCATGTCCCACTGCCACAATTAACTTTTAGTTCATTTCAATCTGCAGTGCACTGAAAAATTGACCAACTCGACGTATCGGTGGCTATACTATGAACCATCTCTGCTCTCTTGCATTCTTGTTTCCACTTTTTATGGTTAGTGTTGATCGTTCACCAGAATTTTTATTTTCTGCCGGTCATTCTTTTTCTTTGTATTCATGCTTTAAGTTTCAACTTTGAGTACACCCACTTTCCTCTTCTATGCTGAACCCTGGAGGTACCTAAAAATAATGAAACGCAATAGCATTGCACATCCCCTTTTCTTGGGCAGGATATCCATAATATAAAAATTCCGAAACATCGTCACCCCCGATTACAACTGGATATCGATCACGCAATGTCCGATGGAAATCACATGAACCGCACGATCTGCGGTATCTGCACGTGAGACAAGCTTATGTACCACAGGTTTCCTTGTGTTTATCGCACTGTGACACGCAAATCTGCTGTGTTCGCAATCTGCGGTATCCGTTTTCGTGTCGTGAAAATTCGCAGCTCGTTGCAACGTTTCTTACTTAGTCCAAACTTTGTGCGTGCGATATTAGTTCTCGTGATATGCGAGCCTGTAGCAGTTTCCCGTGTTCGTCGCACCACGAAACACGAATCTGCTGTGTCCGCAGTCTGCGACATCGGTTCCCGTGATGTGCAAGTTCGTAGCAAGTTTGCACACTTTTGTCTGCAATCTGTGCGTGCAATATCGGTTCCCACGACACCCGGGTCTGTAGCACACTCTCGAGAGTCCATCGCACTTCGAAGTTTGAAGCGCAGATGTGGTACGTCCACGATTTGTTGTATCAGTTCTCGTTTCATGTGGTTTGCTGAAGTCTGGACCCCACACCCCTCAATTTCTTATAAAAGTTTGCTGTCGCATCTCGAAACATCGCCCACCCGATATTTTTTGCCATTTATCTCTTCGTTTTCGGCAGGGGTGATTTCGGAACTTTACGGTAATGTGCAACGATACTGACACCTAAACGTTTACGAGGGCAGACGAGCGAGACCAACCAAGTGATCCTAGTCTGCCAATGAAAGATGAAGTGAACGTACCGAGCGCTTGAGCGAAGTTGGATCGTACACCCTCTGTAGGGGACCGGAGGTTCTCGACGTAGGTTCCTACTATCCTTTCGCACGCCCCTGCATCTCCCCCGTAATATTCCTCCATGAACACCGACAAGGATGAGCACGCCTGGCATCTCAAGGTTTTGTCATCCCAGCGCAGGCATGCTTCGATGATAGACTGCCAACTTTCTATAAGAAAAAGAAAAGAAGCTATTTCAGAGGAAACCATAAAAACACTTTTCCAAAACAGTGAGGAGATGGCAATTATCTCAGCAGTTACGTGAGCGTAAGATTTATGGGCACTAAAATAACAGAGGCATCCTGCCATAGTAAGCATACAGTCTAAGGCTCATCACAGCAGACCTTGCTACAGCAGACATTTGGATATAACATACCAATTTGTGAAGTTCGGTTGGTTTTTCTCTATGTACCATTGACTCAACTTCATATCTGCATACATCATACTCCTTTTACAACAGATTGAAATCTTGGTCAAAATCAATGTCTGTTATAATGAGCTTAGGCTGTATAACTTGTTGAAAAAGAGATATACATGTATATCTACTAATGACAAGTTAAGAATGTGCCTCCGGTGCGAGCTTTCTACTTTTGGTAACACTTTGGGCTCTCGCAACGAGCTTTAAAGATTCTGCCTTTACCGTTTCATGGGTTAGCCAGTTCCTTTAAACTGTGAAAGTCAGCAAACAGAAACTGGCAGGCAACAGGTGCCAGATGAATAAATCGAACACCAAAGGTCATCGCTCACCCAACACAGGCTGCGCACTGTGAGCACAAAAGTGTGCACGAGCAAGTTTCTCAATAAGAAAGCAGGTTGCTCCTCTGCTCGCATTTCCAATGCCCAGGAAAGCCCGGTCTTTTTCGAGAGTCGCGGGAAGCTCCATAAGTCTGAGCACCGACTCTGGCCCTAAACGGTTTAGCAGACACAAAGAAAACAGTAAGAAAATGTACTACTAATATTTCAAAAAGTGTCACTGCTGGCACACAGACATTCACCACCAGAGCAATCTGAGCTGTGCCTAACACAACATTTCCCTAAAAGATTAGTTATAAGTGAACACCATTCTACAACTCCACTTCAATCCTGCTGATGTCATTTCTGAACAATGCTTGCACATAAAAAGTAACGGATGATATCTTAGGGGAAGAAAGGAGACACAGAATTGTTTCTAGAGCATGCTGGAGATAACACAGCCTAACGGTGCAGCAGTGTTCAAGTACTTTGCCTTATTCACATTGTATTTGGCAATCAAGCGCTTTTGTTGGATATGTTTTGTTTTATTCACTGGTGAAATGAATTGGTTTGTGTTAAAAGACTACCTAATTATTGAGTATGCTATGGTGTTTCATAGCTTTGCCTGGCCTATCAGACAAGCAGTCTTTGCTTTCGTGGGCCAGAAGTGTTTGTTTCAATTTTTATTAAAAAATCCCTATTAATATTATTATTACTAAACTGACAATGCATGATGACACTGCCAGTGCAGTAGCACTGATTTTCAGGAGCTTAGTCAAGCTAGTTAAGCTTTTAGTAAGAAAAAAAAGCACCCTAAAATGTTGATCAATCCAAAAAAACATGTTATTATTATTTTGCTAGATTATAATTTTTTGTTGGCAGACAGTGTTACAATCTAAGATATTTCCAAAACTGCACACTATTGTACTCAGGAGCTAATTTATAAAGTTATCCATTTTGTCCCCAAAATTGAATGCTCAGGCAGGTGACCAAGACATATGGCCACTGATGATTCATGGCCTACTTTACCCAAGTTAAAAATCATGACCTGTATCATTTTCTGGCCTCCCTTTTTTTATCCTTCTTTCTTAGCAATGAACATGACCCACTATATATGAGAAAGGGGAAATGTGTACTACTGTAAACAACATAATTTTGGCAAATTTCACAACATTGTAAGCAGCGTGAAAAAATTGTGGAGCCCATCCACTTGAGGTGAAGATGGAAGACCAGCAAAGCTGTTATCTTTACGACAACTTTAACCTTATGGTCACTTATAGCCAAATGCTAAGTCCAATTTTTCGAGGCACACCTTGAGGACAGTTTTTTCCAATTTAGCTGAAGTCTCTTTCTCAACATCGCGGAAGCAAAAGAAAAGAAGGTTAGATCGGCGCATTCTGCCCTCAGCCTCGTCACAGCACACTCTTAGCCGAGATAAGTCGGTGACCGTAGATGATAACGAGGATCAGAACCTCACTCTCTCTAATAATACCAAGGAAGGCTGACTGACGTGGGTTGCCCCTTCTTTTTATTTACACTTGCCACGACCAATCGAAACGAGAGAGCACCGTTTGAACGGGATTTTTTGTTAACATCCACGGACACTTTTTTTCCAGATCCTAGTACATAACAGCTTCGCTGTAAAATGTATCGTGCAGATATGTCACTGCCAAATGAAAGATACACAGCATACCACTCCCAATAGGAAAATTTTGTGCCTGCGAAATATTCACTCGCAAAATTTTGAGTCCGAGAAAATGGGGCTGTTTCTAGCGTTTAAGAAGAAGGCCCAGTGTTATTGCTTGAAATATGAACTTAGCATTCTGTTAGGAAGCTGCAACTTGGACAACAAACTGGTTACGACGACAATGCAACAACACACACCCACATACACAAAAAAAGAAGACACTTGCCCAAGATGTCTTCGATGCTCTTTTCCCGCTCACGAGCCCAGATGGACAGAGCATGAACAACCTCGGCCAGGGAGAGGACAGTTCCATGCTTCACGCTCCCATCGTGATTGCTCATTGCAGCCAGCAGCTTAGGCACACACGTGTCGATCATAAAGTGAGGGTCCTTGGCGGTCAACTTGAACAGCGCTTGGGAGCAGAGCACCCTTATGTTCCGATCCCAATGCCCAACCTTTTCGTTGATCAGGTGCAAAATAAGATGCTGGGTGTACTCTGGAAAATCAGCTACCTGTAAGCTGCACGCGAAAAAGAAGCAAAAACAATAAAACCAATGTTGCAAAAGAGTTACACACTGCCTGTATTACACCATTAAAATACCAGGTATAGCACTGAAGCACAAACCAGCGGTGGAACTGACAAGTGGTGATTTGGAGCAGCTCTTGTAGCAGGAAAAAACGGGTTTCGGAGCAGAGATTTCCACTTTTGGAGCAGACAATTTTGAGTTTTTATGTCAGAAAGTTTTATACAATCTCTTCGAAGTTAGCCCGTAGCAAAAACTGCAGTTGTTCGAGCGTTGGGAAACTAAAGTGTTGTGCCTACAGAAGAACTGGCCTGTGCAGGTATTCATTTATTTTGGTGGAGAACCATGCGCTAGCAATTTTGTAGATGTCTCAGTCAACCTATTAGGAGTACTGATGGCGTCTTCGGTGTGTGCTTGACGTAAAAATATATTTTTGGCTAATTTGTAGACGGTCTGTATCACGGTGACGTAATTGTCGCGAATTCGACATCAAGCGGACACTTCTGTAGTGAATGTGTCTCACACTGCCCGCTCGTATTCAATCTGCTGCTGTTCCTAGGGCAGCTAAGTGAAGCACATAGCTACTAGAACCGGTCAGGAGTAGCGCTAGTCATTCATTTCGATCGATGTGAGCGCCGTTCGCACAAAGACTGACAACTCTTTATTTGGCATGTGGAAATGATGGATTTTGGGTTTGAAGCAAATTCAAGGTGAATAGTTGTTTTGGCCGAATATTTTTTATTGAATGTTGAAGAGTTTTTGCATTTTTGTCCACGCCTTTTACTACTGTTCAACCATGCTCAAACAAAAATTCAGCTAGACTCCTGAAGGTTGTTCTTAAATGCCCACTCATGAGCTGTTAAATTTAATCTACCTATTTTATAGGCTGTAGCCTCAGAACGTCCAGTACTTACATTGGGATGGTAAGCAAATAACAGATTTCACATAAAATTAAATGTATAAAGGATTCCAACCATACCTATTTGAGGGGATTTATAAATCTCCTTATATTAAAATATTTTCTTTGATTCTGAATTAAAAAAAAAGAGCACAAATAATGCACACATGCTTTTAGAACGTCGCTGCCCAAGACATACCCTTGCATAATAGCCACAGTTAAATTTTGAAGATTTTACAGCAATATAATATCAACAACCCCAATTTTTTTCTTTTCTTTTTTTGTAGTATTAAGCGCGCGGTTGCGCTGCGGCGAAGCGAGTCGCGACATCGCCCGAGCATTGCTTCTCCGCAGTGCAACTGTGCCTGAGGATAAGCGCACTCAGGGGGGCTAAAGCGCCGCGATCAACACTTCGAAAAGTAGGAATATCGCAATTCAATTGGAAACAAATATCAAATAACGTATTATTTGAAACTACTATTAGAAAATTAGAATATTAGCGCAGCCCTACTCTTCACACATAGCACTTAAACATAAAAAAACTGTATATGCATTTTCAATGGCATCGCCAACAATGTCACGTGCCAGACACTTTAAGTTTCCTTTTCGGGAATTGACTTTTCGGCCTCCCTTTCGGCACAGACATGGCGCAAATTGTGCACAAATACAGCTTTTGGAGCAGCATGTAGCAAGTTATTCGTACCACCGCAGTTTGGCCCAATAGGCGCAGCAGTTGCAGCACTGACAAACATTTAACCTTCTAACAATATGCTTGCGTGCAAGCCTGGGGTGTTGAGGTCTGTGTGCACAGCCGTCGAAAGCCTCCTTCATGACACATAGGGATGAACATGCTGTGCTCTTTGGCACGTAATAGGCATGGCAAATTTGGGATGCGAGAACTGAAGAATGTTGCCAAAATTAACATTAAATTAGCAGGTTCAATATTCTAACTATCATCACATTAGCTGCAAGAATGCTGTATTTAGTTCAATTCTTGAATTGATGGTGGCATTTGAATACTCCTATTTGAAGTTGACTAATATGGCAGGTCTTGGTGTTTGCCCAGTAGCCTAGATGCATTGCAGAGGTGCATAAACCACATATTGCATGCAATGTATGGGGAGCTTAGACTTACGAGGCTATCTGTGCTATTGGTGTGCAATACCGCATCACAAATCATGCAAGTTTCATTTTCGCACCAAGCTATGCAACAAACTTGTTCAGTAACAAATGTTTTTGGCAACTTTTTTCAATTTTGTAAAATAAATGCTAAATAAAAGAGAATTGGGGTCAGTGCGCAGGCCAGCTGGTGGAAGTTTACCATGATGATTTTGACCCAAGACTGGGGCAGAGGGAGGAAATTGTTTTGCAGTGGACAAGAAAGTAACAGGTAGAGACACTGTTTGTCCCTGTTATTTTCTCTTCCACTGTAAAATATTTCCTCGTTTTGCCCTAGTCTTAGGTTAAAATCTTCACGAGAAAAAAAAAAAAAAAAAACTCCACAAAAGGGCAAGTATATACCTGCAGACTTCTAACTTTTAAGAAAACATCTTGTAAACAGCAAAATAGCCACATTTACTTTTACAGCCTCTAGAAAAGTGCCAGTCAGAGACAATTTCCCTTTCATTTTGTGTTCAAGTACAAACAGGGGCACTTCAAGTCAAGAGTGTCGTACCTTACAGAGAGGTAGGATGTCTGAATGCGACTCAGTGAGAAGTAACTGACGATGCTTATGATGGAGATGCCATGTGGAAAAGTGCCCAGCCTCCCAACACACTCTTGAAACGCCGCCGCCGCCGCACGACGGCAGTTCAGTTCTCTGGAAACAAGGAGTATGCTCTTGTCACAACTTGTACTCTGGTAATAGAGGCCAACACCTCTATAGTCGGTTACAAGTCAAGAAGGTAGGAGAAGCTCTTCCCACAAGTGTGATGCGCCCGTTTCAAATCTCTCCGCAGTCGAAAGAAGAGTTCACTGGAAACGCTCCTTGGTCCGCTTCAATGGATTCCCACTTGTCTCCGATCCCACTTTTTAAGAAAGCGACCTTTGTATTCGTCGGAGAGGGAACCGAGCCCCTGAAAGCAGCCTTTGTATCCATCGGGGGGGAAGCTAATCCCCGAAAGTCGTATTTGTTTCCGTCGGTGGGGGAGAACTCTAATCTCCCTCTCGTGCCTTCCACAATGCTAAGTCAAAGTCGAAAGATAAAGCAAATATGTGCAGAAAGGCAAGACCTTCCTCGCGCGTTGGCCGCGACGTCACGGAAACGGTGGGACGCTATTGGATGCGGAGGTGGCGGAGGGATATCTGATTCCCTTTGAGGGGCGTTTGCCGCTACCTTCTTAACCTGTAACTGACTATAGTTACTCCTACAAATGTCAGAGGAAACAACAATGTGCAGCCCAACATTATTCTTGCACAGCAGAGGTGTCAGTCAACCATTCAGGCAGACTAGGTTTTCACAGCCAAAGCATCCATACAATAAATCTGGATTGACGATGAAAGAGCCTCGAGCTAGAACAACCTTTGACAGGTCGCCCAGTTTTGTGGTCATTGAAAAGTTGCAGCTCCACATTTGCAGCGTTTTTACAGGAGAGAATAAATTAATTAATTGCACTGCAGGGATCTTCATGCACATGTGCTTTTAGTTACATGTGAATTCCTTCACCAATTAGTACTATACAATGGAATTCCCTATGTTGCCAGACTAAGCTGCATCTTGACCAACTCTAATAAAAAGGGGTGAAGAAGAAAAAGGGATGAATGAAGGGCTCCTCCACATGCACTTCTAAAATATGGAATTGCTAAATAAAGCACAAAATGCTGCTTAGCCACAATCAACCATGTTCATAACAGAATGTTCACAAACAACTTCAGTCACTCAACCAAATACTTTTTCATACCACTGAACATCTGAACCTCACGACAGTGAGGACATATCAGAAACAAACGTCTCCATAATAGGACTGCAAGCCATGTCGTTGGTTCATGGTTTTAAATGCCACAAAAATGTGGAGAAGACATAGATGAGCACAAGGTACCTTGACCAGTGCCCTTCTCTCCTTTATTTGCATGTTTCTGATGCTTCAGATATAAAAAATGATTAGGGGTGCGCGAATATCCAAAAAATAATGCTTGCTCTTCAATTCGATTCACACTTTCACTGTTCGAAGTATTCGAGTCTTTCGAATACTTCAAAAACTAGGAATAACGCGGAATTCGCTGATTAGTGTCAACTCGTGGTCGAGTTCCCTGTTTTGTTTTTGGAGTGCTTGGCAAACCCAAAAAGCCAATGTACCGTAATATCCGGAGAAATAGCCCACCTAAAACTGAAAGGAAATTTGTGGAAAATCAGGAGTAAGCTAACTTCCGGAGTGCAATCAAGGAAGGTTAAAACAATTATATTTCTAAATTATGTATTTCTGTTAAACCTGTTATCGCGGCGAGGGGTAATGAAGGAAAGGTGACTATACTTAAGTCAGCAATGTTCACTTTTTTGCCGCAATACCTACCAAGAGACACTTATGCCGAGGTCAAAATTGATCCAAACACTACGAGGAGGGGTGGGCTACCTTTCGGTGTTTAAAAGAAAATTGCAAATCGAGCCAAAAATAGTGGTGGGTTACCTCACCAGGGTGGAGTATCTCTCGGGATTTTACAATAAGTGCCTTTTTTTTTTTGTATGAAGCACTGGAAAGTTATTTGCACGCAGTAGCGCGATCTGTCCTTTGCTTGCCATGATGTCTGGATTATGGAGGATTATGGAGTCTTACAGTCCTTCCTACAGTCACTACAGTAGCCAAAGTGCTATGAAATCTGATATGGATTTCCAGCTGACCTTGGCTGCGATATCTGGCTCGTGTTATTTTCCGCTTGATTTTCTGGTTCATCAGTTTGTTTCCACCCGTTCTCTATTATTTATTTCTATCCGTTCTCACTGGTAAAAGTAAAACTTGCTCCCTTTGCAAAAAAGACAAAACATGTTCTTAAATTTATTGGTTTTTTGTGGCGCCCTCTACCGGCAGAGCTATTGCACACGGAAAGAGATGGCACAAAGTCAATGTGGCTGCGCAGTGCGATCGCACAATCTCCAACTCTGCTGTGGCCTGTCGACCCGCCTCCACTTGTGTACTTCCGTTTACGTTCGCGTAATTGCGTTCACCCGCGTTGTGGGAAGTCGAGGAGGACGACAGCGTGCGAGAGGGCAGGAGCGGTGGCCGGCACGAGGATTCCGGCAAGGCAGGGGCAAGACACCCGGACGACGACTGGGACAGCAAGGCCCACAGCCGAAAACAGTAAAACGTTTTGAATATATTTTTGCACGTGTGACTTCTTGGTAGGGCGGACCAGGCAGGGACCGATTGGGCAGCAGTTTAGTAGAGTGACCCACAAGCTGCGCGACGCGATCTTCGATTTTGTATTGTGGCTAGCCAACCAGCCACTGCTTGTGTACTCTTGTTTACGTTCACGTCGTTGCGTTCGTCCGCGACGCGATTTTTGACTGCGTACTGGCTTGCCGCCCCGCCTCCACTTGTTTACTTTCATCTACGTTATGTAACTTCACTCCTTGAATAGTGTTTTACTGACTTATCTTTTATTTTATCTGTTTTTTATCAGTCACATGTGTGAAATTTTTCTTATTGCAATAAAACTAAACAACCTTTCCACAAATGTTTGTTGAAAAAGAAATTCCAGTAGTGTTTTGCGAGCTTTCTTGTTTCATTCACATCAAATAGAAAATATTTGTTTTCAAAAATGTCTTTATTCGAAGCTACTATTCGTATTAAAAAATAATTCATTCGATTCATAACCTTTATCGTTCGGTTTGATTTGGAAAATTTTGATATTCGCACACCTCGAAGAATAGTCAAGGAGTCTGCATTGATAAGTCAATGATTAAAGAAAGCATGCCGACCGACCTGTCAAAGAGGGCCACGCAAATCAGAGTAGTAGCAAGGCTGCTCACAAAAGGAGCAATGTCGCAGGGATCGTAGGAGCGGCCGAGAGTCCAGGTGACGTAGCATGCAGCGTCTCGAGTGGGCGAGCCAATGGCACACTTTCCCCACCGCTCGTCAAAGACCAACGATTTCACCACCGCGTCCACCACTTGCGGCAGGTGTTCGGGAAGAAGGGTGCCCCTCCGACCTGTGCAGGGTGGAAGGAAAAAAAATAAAAGCAAAGAAATTAGACGCTCGTGTTTAGACAGCATGAGGTCAATCTGCCTTTGAGGTATGGCGATACTGGTTTACGCTAGGAGAACTATAGCCAGTGGAGTACTATTGCTAGCCTGGAGTCTTTTTTTTTATAGCACATCACGCAGTAATGATACACTACCGCACGCCTGTACAATGATCATCCAGATCGAAACGGGCAAGGGTGGGAGATTAAACTCGGGATCCCTGGGTCCTGCAGCACAAGCTTTTCCCCGCATGTTCCTAGCTGCAGCGTGCTAACGCATTTGACTACCGATCCCCTCCCCCCTCCCCAACGATGGAAAAAAAAAGTGTCACTGGTACACTCTTGACACTGACTAGGAGTGCTACATAAGATAATGATTCTTTACCTTTGTACAACAGGTTACAAAGAGAAACAGAACACACTGACCATAGAGCTCTGAATGGTCTACAAATGCTCAAAGTCCGAGGGACATCAAGGGGACAGACCTAGTTCTGCCAGAGCCAGACATCCACCGTGCCAAGATGTGTTCTCTATCTGTGCCTCGAACTGACTGAAGATGGAAGAGACCACCTCGGAAGCCATTTCCTTGGGCAATCTGCTTGCAATCCGGCCTATGCCTTTGGCGGCGGACCACCTGGTGAAACAAGTGTGCAGGAAAGTCACAAGAATGTGATGCCATTGCAGGAAGAGGGAAATATGATCAAGGATAGGTGCATATGATGGGCCTTTTTGCATTATCTCACTCTGGAGGAGTGCTTTTCCCATTTGTACATGGCTACGCTGCGGCAAAGCAAGGTACGGAGAATCGCAATGTCCAATCTGCAGATGTCACTTCTCTGCTCCGCCCAATATGGAGTGAGAAGCACATTCCAGAGAGCTAACTAACCCGCAGAACAGATTACAAACAGTAGGAATATTGAGGTACTTCCGAGTACCCTCGATGTTCAATACGAAGATAAAACTGATATCAAAATCGTTACTCAAAGCATAACTGAAGGTTCTGAAAATTGAAGCCACCATAAAGTAATGATCCAGCGGTGTAGCGGTGCTTCAGCTATTCCAGTACTACTGACAAAGTAAAATTAACTTCTGGTGCAATGTTGGTCGAAATTCCTCACATTTGGGTGAAATGTAGCAGGATGCAGCAGGGCAAGAACTTTGTGGCAGTTTGGCACAAGTGGCACAGCAATTGTGCCACTGCATATTTTCAATACAGGAACTCCAATTCAAATATTTTTCTCGTTGCTTTAGAGTACTAGGTGGTCGAGAAGTCATGAGGACAGAGGACACAATAAGCCCTGTATAACATTTTTCCTCAGTAAACGTTCTTGTTGGTCCCTACATTGGCATTTGTTTCTTATGAACCCACATCCCAAATACTGCAAAGTAAAAGTTCCAAACAAATGCACAAAGCATAGCTTGATGAGGTGAAGACAAACCCACACCACAAAATAACAACTGGGAGAGGTAAAGCATACCTGACATTAAGACCCTCATCAACCAGACCTTCCAAGAGTTTATCCACAACCTCTTCAATGATGGGAGGAACCTCAAAGTTGGTGTTCTCCTTCATGGACGGAAAAGCAGGCTCAGTGCTCGAGGTGTCTGCATTGAGCCCATCCACAAGCTGCTTCACCCTCCTCAGATGCCTCCAGGGGGCCAGATTGGCAGGCAAATAACTCAGGCCTGCATGACACAGACGCTACCCATTAAAAAAACACAAAAACGCTCATCCCTTATGAGAAAAATGCCGAGTCGCAGGGCTGCGGACGCATGTGCGGCGTCCGATATTCAGCAGAACAGAGCTACTGAGTTACCGCGTAGGCTCAGAATAACTGTGCTGCAGCTTTCCATGCGTGTCGGTAGGCAACGCCTGCAGTAGCATTATAAATGTAAGGAATGTTGCACATTTCAAAATGCGAGCACCGCATTTGATCTTGACGAGATGTTGTGAAGCGAAGTTGGCATCTTGAAACCTAAACTTAGTGGCCAAAGGGCTCTAAAAATGCTTTGCATGGTATTTTGGAAGAGCTAGACATTTTAGGAAAGGGGTACTCCAGCGATTTTTTTAGCTACCCCATGCAGAAACCAACGTTCAAATACACCCGCGCTTTTTTGTGCTGCAACGTCACAGGCAGGCTTGCAGGTCCAGCAGGCAGTCTAAAAGAACAGACTATGTCGAGCTTTTGTTTTGCGCTGCTGCACGGGTGTTCGAGCAAGCTTCCAAAGCATTGATTTGACACCATGAAACTGCTTGAAATCAGTTGGGAACAAATCCTACACCCTAAAGTGTGAACCCCTTCCTGCCACTGGCATCGCTTTTTCATTGTTGCCAATAGAGACTTTCACTTTGAAAAACATGGTGAGGACCAAAATTGCAAAATCAACTTTGAGGGAAAAAAAAGTTACTTTGGCCTAATATTTGGGTTACTAGTTCAGCGATGTTCGTTGGTGTGTTTGGTCACTTTTCAGGCAAATCGGGATCACAAAGAAAAAGCCAGAGCACTCTTTTAAAGGGGTACAGAATCGAAACTTGAAATATCCCCAAAACACTTTGAAACGGGTGAAATATGATCCATGATATCTGTAAATGATAATCACACCCTAGTATTTTCGGTGGATGGCTATATTTTCGGTTCCAGCCACCGGATTCTAGCAAGCACTTCAAAATCGACCATCGAAGCGGCGCGATGCGTCTCGGGATATTTTAGTGTTTTAAAAATTGTGTGACGTAAAAACTGTTAGGCACATATTTTAATTCTAGTCCAGTCACTTTCAACACTTAAAGGCGGGCGCTCAAAATTTTCTTCAGCGTGGCAGAAATTCCCCCTCTTTTCTTTTTTTCCTCCTCCCCTTTCCTCCTCCATTTTCCTCCTCACTTTTTACGGCCTTCTCGCACGAGTGCTAATGGGCTTACCGGCCCCTCGACAAAATCTCTGTATCCCTTCAAGGTTCTCTGCTTCAATCCCAAACATCAGGGATTAGTTAGGCAGCCTGGACATGAGCTCGGAAGGGTTCGGGCTGGCTCGCTTTTCTCCTTTTTTTTTTTTTCCTTTTTTTTTTTTACTCTCTTTTTTTTTTTTTTTTTTTTTTTGCAGCTCTAAAACACACTTAGATAGTCAACACCAACTAGCCCAACAACAAGTTCTTTTACATTCAGATACTTCCGCGTGCGGCCACATACGCTACAACACCGTATACGGTGGTATATTTATCTCGAGTGAACGGAACTTGAACATCACAGCAGAAGGAAAAAAAGATGGGTATTTTTATCTGAACTTTGAGCTCTACCCAGAGATTTGAAAATTGGTCGTTCTAACAACGGCACACTGAAGAGTGATTGTATCACTATTGTGTTTTTGTTTTTCTGTTTTTTGTACAAAGTAATAATCATGAGTAATTACAAGGCAAAGATATTGCAGTCGGAGGGACACAGTCTGACCATTTCTGGGGCATAATATATAGGTTCGCACTGCAGGTGTTTTCTAGAGTGACGGCCGCCTCGTTGAAGCTACTAAGAATAGTAAAAAAAAACTTCCATAAAAAGTGAAACGGTTTATGGTATATTTCACCTATTTTCAGCCTTTGAAAAAAAATTCTTCGTGGCCAAACGTGCATTAGTTTTTGTCAACAAATGTAACTCGCGTGGCTTCCTTCTGACCTGTAACAAAGCTTATGAAACATGACAAAATACCTTGTTATAAAGTGCCCGTCCCATCATAAACTCAATTTCGAATGTCCTGGGATTTGTTTTTATAGGCCGGGAAAAAAGAAAAAAAGAAAAGAGATGCATGCAAAGCCGCGTGTTTCACGCTTTATTTATATCAGAAAAGAACTGCCCTTTGTTTTATATACAGCGTTGGTTTTTTCTCTTTTTTTTTCACCTACTAGATATTAGAAAAAACGTGCAAATTAACGTTTTGTGGATGTGAGCTCTACGGCCAAGTGAAGATTCCGTTCAAGAAAGAACGCAACAAAACCGACTGGTTACCTAAAATTTGTTAATGAACTTTTTGAATATAAAAGAAAACGGGATAATTTTTGTCAGTATATTGTCATTGTTAACTTTATTATCACTTTTTACGTGCATTTAGTGCTCTTGTTTTCTATTTTGCGCTCTCGGTGTGTTTTGTATTTAATCTTGTAAACACTTTATTCTTCGTAGCTCTGTTGGAGGTATGAATCATATTCTTTTCTGTGTGTGTGTGTGTGTGTGTTTGTTCCTCCCTGCCACGGCCCCACGGGCCAGCAGTATGTACAAATAAATAAATAAATAAAGTTGTTGGGCATAATCGAAAGCCACCAAATTGTCCAGTGAAAATTAGCGCCATTGCGATTTGTGTAGGTGAGCTATACGGCCAGGCGAGGATTAGGCTCAAGAAAGAACGCAACTAAAACCGACCGATTGCCTAAAATTCGCTAATTAACCTTTTAGTTAGAAAAGAAAAACGACATCGTGTATTTAGAAAGTTGTTGGTCGTAATCGCGAGCCACCAAACCGTCCATTCTTAAAAAGATGTAACGCGCGTACACTATTATACGGCGTCTTGATACGGCGTCCTCCTAATTTGGGCGCGAAAATATAGTTCTGATTTTATGTGGGCTCCATCTCCGCGTGGCACAGCCTAACGCCATGAAGCCAAAACGACAAATCATGCGCATCACTGTGACAACGCCACTGTAGAAGGGGCGAGGAGTGCGGCGGCCGAAAAGATTGCGGTAACACGATTCGCGTCCAAATTCGGCATTTTAGGACGCCGTGAACCACTTCACGTGCACTACATCTCTTTAAAAATGAATGATTTGGTGTTTTTGATGACTACAGATAAGGCACAAACCGAAATTGCGTAACTCGAACGTCTTTTGTAGCAAAATGTCTACTCGCAAAAAAAAAAAAAAAATCGCTCTGTATAAGCGCGATTGTAAGGCACTTCTTTAAGTACGGCGACATCATCACGGCATGGAAGGAGACGTTGACCACAGATCATACGCTGTGCATGATATGTGGTCACTGTTTTTTTTTCATACGAGAATGAGCAAACATTTGATACAAAATAAAATAGATTTAGCATTCACCAAATTCGACTTGTTTTACTTGATTCAAATCGATATTTGATTTTATTATACTTATCTTGTACCCGCACACGCCTCCTTTATTCCCTAATGTGTTACAAGTGATAATTACATTGTTTTTTTGTCGTGCGAGGTCATCACAATTTATTATTAACAATAGGAGCTGTGCGATTACGCGGAGGCGGCGCATTTGAAGATATTCAAAATTGTTCTGAATACACAAACAGCCTCAAACGTCTTGCTGTTTGGGTCCTTTCCTACACGTTTGACCAATAATAAAGCCAAAACCTTATAGAGGAGACTATTTCTATCAACTCTACGCGCAAACACGATGTGAAGCGTGTCTGCGTACTTTGGAAAAGAGATACCGGCGAGCAAACCATAGCGTCGAATGTCCATGCATCAAAATGTCCGTGCACCGAAATATCCGCTCACCGAAAAGTCCCACACCGAAAAGTCTTTGCAGCAAAAAGTCCGTACACTGAAACGTCTGTGCACCAAAACGTCCGCACCGAAATGCCCTACAGCAAAACGCTCCACGCCGAAAAGTGCTAGACCCACTACGGATGGGGTCCTCCGTCACCTCTGGCGGTTTATGAACCATAATGATTCAGAACCACTGATCTATGGAGCGCCATCCCTGATATACAGAAAACGCCGCTCGTACTTCCCGTTGTCGCCATGAATCCGACAACGAAAGATGCCAAATCAGATATTTATATTAAAATTGATACTTTAATGACTACTTCTTTGAGCAGGACGAGGTATTTGTGCTCTCACAACCAGCAAGGATCATCCTCCAAACCAATGCTAAAAAAGAGCCAATGCAACTCGTTGGGAAGAGCAAGTGCCAAGCTCGCTCAAAATAGCTACTCGGTTGGTCCAGCTCCTTGTCGCAGGTGTGCCGGCTGGCTTCTGGATAATCTTTTCAAATCCTTGAAGCCTTTCATTTCCTCCACCCCAAACTTGTCAAAAAAAAAAAAAAACAGTTAGCAAAAAAAAAAAAAAAAAAATCGGAAGATGGCGAGGAGGAAACGAGAGGCGATTTCCTCCTTTCACAGTGGCGAGAAGGAAAGTGAGGGTCGGGTTCCTTCTCTCTGCTTGCGGGCCGGCCTTTAAGGAGGTGGCAGGAATAAAAAATCAACCCTTTATAATGTCAGGTTAAGGAAATAATGATACCTAGTATGTAAAGTCTTGAGATAATTGAGTTTAAAGTAAGAAACACAGGTAAATAACACATTTCTATTGGCTCCAACAACCTCAGAGTCATTTCTTCAATAGCCGCCAGCTTCGTAGTCATTGCTACAGTCACGTCTCTGCTTTTCGGCTTATCGCCTTGCTTGCGGGGCTTCTTTTGTGACCTGGCGGGTCGCTCAGTTCGCAAAGTGTATTCGAGTGCGGTAAACTTCCCTCAGCCACTTGATGGCGTTCCACCAAGGGTTCAATTCCCAAAACTTTAACATATTGATCTGCAACACTACCACCATTGAATAAAAGAGCAGTATCCAATGTTGCCATTTGTCACTCAAAAATACAGGCGCTTCAAAGTACACACGTGGAAAGAACACGCAGAGTCTTAGGTTGTCTTGGTTAAAAAAGAGCCATGCAATAGTTGCCAGATAAGTTTTAAGATGTACCTCATTCCGGACATGCTTTTAGACCTGGTGTTGAATTAATTTTGTTGGAAAATTTATCGATAAGCAGGGAGAGTATCCCAAAAGGCGGCGTGTGGTCACCCCTACTTGCCTTTAGGAAAAGCTGTTTTTCAGCCCGAAATATAACTTTCCAAAACAGTGTGAAAATGAAAAGTGTGAAAAAAGAAAGAAACTTTTCAAATTGCCAAAAAACTAAAATAGATTTTTTTTAAAAATATCTTTGCTTACCCTGTGTTTTTAAGAAGGCAGTGCCGTGCTTTGGCTATGCTTGCTCACGAGACGCCCAAGTAGTTTGAAGGGCTATCGGAGTTAAATGCATACACAGGAGCAGGGCTTCTACTAAATTCTTAACCTGACGACGACTTATAGTCGTCGTCAGGGAACGCCCCTTGGGAACACCCTTGGGGTGTTCCCAAGGGGTGTAAAGGTTCCCTTTCCCATCAAAGCTTACATGACACAAGAACTGTCAGAAGCCTGTCCCAGGCCCTAAAATCGTAGGCAGACTCCTGCAGTTAGGTGTTCCATTCTTAGACTCTGGACAAGCAGAAGTGCAGGAATTAAAAAAAAATTTAAACTTCCCCTATTTTTAAATAATAAGGGGATTAGGGTTTATGGTGTTTATTACCCTTTTCATTTGGCAGTACACCAAGTGGTGTTTGCAGTGCGATAGGCATCATATAAAGGTGTCGTTGCTCGCTGAAAGGACTGTGAATGTCTGTCCTTCGTCCATCTCAGTGTTTTATTCTTCCTGTGTGAACTATAATTTGACAGCATGTACCTGCGTTTATTTTGTCACATGCCCGCCCCTGTGTTTTTCTACGCCGCGTCCCTGTGTTTTTCCCTGTGTTTCCCACCCTGCTTTCCTGTGTTTCTTCGTCCCCGTGTTTTTTCTACACTTGTTCTTCTGCTCTTATCAAAAAGCAGTTTCTCACTCCCTTTCTTTATCAAATACCGAGCTCAAGTGTCGTGCGCATGTTTTGACAAGGTACCCATGCAAAATTCTTTTTTCTTCAACCACAAAAATTTGCTTGGTTTCGACTGGAGCGGTCTTTCGATAAAAACAATACTTTGGAGAAAGCGTGAAAAAGATACCGACCTATCCGCTGAAAGAGCTTCATGGAAAGCTTGCGGACAACAATGTTGGGGTTTGCCTTGATGCACTTATGCGACAACAGAGTCAGCAGGCTTTTCGCATGCTTGCAGAGGACGTCACGATTGGCTAGTTTGAACACTCTGGCAAGAGTGGCCAGCATGCTTACAACAGCAGCCTCTTTTGCATTGGCCGGATCAATGGTCTGCAAAAGAAGGAAGCAACCGAACAATCAATGAAACCAGATAGTAGTAGCTCTGATGCACAGGAGAGTGAACTACAAATAACCACCACAAACTGAGACATGTTTGAAGTTACCAAGTTTTTGACTGGGGTGAGCAAATTATTTCCAGCCCCAACATAACAAATTATACGCAAAATTTATTAAAGAAACGTAGTCATCTGCACTTACAGATGAGGCTGCCTCTAAAGATGTGGTACTACTATAAGGGGGCCTCAGAAGAACAAAAACATGTACAATGAACAGAGGATTCACTTGATACATGGTAATTTATTTTGTAAAACTATCTGTGTTCAATATACTAATATGCTCCTTTATGCAGGCATTCTGCGACCTTACCTTCAGTTTATTGAAGGTCCCTATTTGGGCAATTGCTAGAAACAGTGTAACATGCATATCCCATGCGATCAAGATGCTTTTACAGCAACTCACGCAGTACAAATTGTCACAAACTGCCACGTGAAAGACATCAGATCAGGGCCGTACCCAGAAAAAAATTTCGGGGGGGGGGCTTTTCGGGGACAACGGCGGCCATTTTGAAAGTTTCTATTGTCTTATTTTCGCCTATGAATCATGTGCATCGGTGGCATATAATGGAGAGTTACAGCAAACCGGAGAACCGGTCCCGGTTTAGTACCCGGTAGCCGACCGGCGTTACAGCGCGTGCGCAGAAGTGGAGATTAGAATCGGCTGGCTGCCAGTGCACCGACTAGGGCCGTACCCAGAAAAAAATTTGGGGGGGGTCAGAACCCCCTAACCCCCCTCCCTGGTTACGGCCCTGCATCAGATTATAACTTCTAAAAGAATACTAATAATGCTTTATCATAGACCATTCTTGAATGAAAATTTTATTGTCTGCTCCTAAATTATGTAATTTCTTTAAAAACACTAACCAGGATTCCAATATAGATTTAAGAAACAAAGTTAAGTATTGCAGTGTACTCTAGAATACTCCATTGTATGACAGTGGCAAGGAATACCCTTCTGAAGCATTGTAGAATTATCTGGGAAATATTGTAATATGAGGGAACCAGTTTAAGGGGAGGCACGGCCTAGGAATCGCGATTTTTTCAAAAAAGTCACATTTTTGGAAAATAGGCTGACCAGCTTTTACAACTCATAAAGAATGCTGTCCAAAAATTTTATTCCTGTAAGTAAAGTATTTACTCAGAAATAAATTATTTTCAATGTGCTGGCGGCCGCACGTGCGCGCTGACGACGCGGCTGATTACGAAAAAGTGCCATTTTCAAAGCGCGCTCCCTCCGCGTTTCTTAGGACTAGCATGGACAGGCCCCCCTTGTTGGAATGAGCGTCTCGCCCTCTTCCGTTCTGTTCGCAGCATTGTTCGCGATATCGCGCTCACAGACCGTAAAAACCCGTAGAAAACATATCTGTGCACGCTCTTATTGGTCAAGCTGGCGAAACAAGAGCTCTGATTTGCTAGGACGAGCCCCGTGACGTGGCTCGTCCTAGCGAATCAGGAAGCTCTGTTGGAAATTGGCATACAGCCAGGGAGCTACCAAGCGTCATACGGAGAGAGGGCCACCAAGATGAAGGTTGCGAAGGCCCAAGTGAAAGCGCTCGAGTCCTCCAAGATGTCCCACAAAAAAAGGAAGATGGAAGCTGTGGCCAAGGCACACAGGGACCGTGCAGAGGAAGGAGTGACATATGCCCTTGGAGCATTTTAGATGAAATGGCAAGCCCCACATAAACTATACTCCGTTCCACCTTCTGTCTGAGCGCAGTGGACGCCACAGGCCATCCCAGCCGATCGAGCGCCGGGAGAAAATCGCGTGACCTGCCGGTTGGGCAGAGGGACATAGGGAGCTCAAGGTCACATGACACTCTCTCCACGCTGGATTGGCTGGGATTACTCCTAGCGTCCGCTGCGCTCGGACTGAAGGTGAAACGGAGTTATAAAATACTGTTCAAACTTTCAAACCCGTTTTTCTCAGCTTCATGTTTTCACAATTTTTTCACAGCTGTAAAACTATTGTTCGATAAGTTAAGCGCCCCCAAGTCTAATGTATGGCTCTTTTGGCATGAAATTTACTGGAGAACTCGGCTATGTGCTTACTTTTTGCAAATTGTTATTTCTTCACACAAAAATGTTGACGTTTGTGAAACAAGAAAAAATAGAAAATTCATACCATTATTGAAAGTTAATTTTTACATAAAATATGGCCTTAAAAATTATTTCAAGCCTACTACCGATTAGTTTAGTCATTCAGCGTTATATCCCAACAAAGAAATTGTGCCTTTTATTCATATTTTGAAACAATAATTTTTTGCCTTTGGCACGGCTACGTGTACATTTTTTTTCAACGAATAAGGCTGTAACTTGTCAAAAAATAAACCTTTTGGGTTGAAAGTTGGTGTAGCCTCCTAAGTTTTGATGTTTAACATACCCTAAAAATTTCATTGACCTGGCACGAATACTTAAAAAGTAGACCCTCCAAGGGAGTGCTTTAATAGTACCCGAGTGGATATTGAGGGACCCCTAGCCTTTATTGTCACATGTTCTAATGAAAAAATACATAGATTGATTTTGGTTTGCTTTTCTGGCTTCGGTACCCGACTGTGGCTGAGCTTTCCCTTTCCCTCCCTTAACAGTAAGTTGTGCCTGGTGCTTGCGGATGAGTGTCGGAGGCTCTAAGTCAGAAAAATTCAGTGGGCACGCCACACACGAAGCTGCTTTTAGTTCTTCTCAATAGTTTGATTCCAGCATTTTCAAGACTTGGTGTCAGTAAACAGTACTGTATTCAAATAACTTGTTGCTATGGATTCTTCATGTTTGCACACAGCCTGGGAAGCAGGTGGGTTCGGCACAATGTAAATTGTGAGGTGGTACGACTACCAGGCTCGGAATGAGATTGGGGAATCGAGAAGAGCGAGTTTTAATTTGTGCAAATCAAAATATGCTTTATTATTATTTTTACATCACAACAACACTTTTGTGGGCATCACTTTGTCAGAGAACAGCTTTGTTTTGTCATGAATTCTTTCATGTAGTATTTCTACTAATTTTGCTTATAGGTTGTCCCACACGTTTCGTGCTGCACATTTGTGGTTTGTACCCAATAAAAAACGGTTCATTCTGTTTGTGAACAAAGGATAAAAACAGTAAAGTTTTGCTTGTAGTAGCCCATACAATTTATATCGTCTGGATCAAGTTACTGCCACAATTTTGCCGCTCGCTTCTAATCAATGAAATTTAAGTTAGTACCCAGCTACTTGTCATAGCAAACTCAAAATATGCATTTTAGTTGGGATACTTCCTCTGATGTGCAAACCGTCAAAGAGCAACGAACAAGGGCAGAATACAAAAACGAAAGAGGCACATAAAAAATGTCTGTATTGCCTTCTACATTCTTTCATTTTCATGTATTTGCCTCCAACATGTTCAACCATCCAAACAAAGGCTGCTTTACCTCCTGGATCCAGGCAAAAAAGTCATCCAGGTGAACATCAACAATATCTGGACGAGTTATGAAGTTTGCAGCAAGGAGGGCCGGCGCCACCGTTTTGTGTCCTCCACTGCTTAGGTGCACCTTGACAATGCTCAGTATCCTAAACAAGGGAGCAATAAGAGAAGACATTGTGACACAACATTTCATGAGCACAAGACTGAGGCTCACCTTTCGGCAATGGATTTGTTGAAGCCGTCTCCAGAGTCAAGGCGAGACAGCTGGAAAGGAACAATAGCCACAACGGACAGCCAGAGGAGAAGCATGTTCACCGTTGGATGACAGGCTGTTTGGATGGGCGTAACTCGCTCGAGAAGCTGCAGAACTGGTTCGATGTCGGATATCTGGAGGAGAAGCAAAGAGTCAGGCACAGCGTGAAGATATGCCACACTAAACGGGACTTTAGAAATTGGTGCAAATATTGAGGCACAGCCTGCATGCGGTGCTCAGACAAGCTTCAAATGAGTTCTGAAAGATTGCCTCTCGGCGTCTACCACTATGAGGCCACAGCAAACCTGACAAGCTCGACAGAATGAATAACCAGAATGGGAGGTATCAAACAGCACGGCTACTTTAAAAGACACTCTTAAGGTATTCACAAGGGGGGAACAGATTGAAAGGTTAAAGTCCTGGCAGTACTTGTGCCCCGATCCTAATAGTCAACTTCTTAGTCCAATAACAAAATTACCTGCACAGCACTAGGAGGAAGGTTGTAGTACATTTATTAAATCGGGTGTTCAACAGAAGGAGCCACGCTTTCCAAGTAAGGATTGGGGAGTCAATAGTTGAGAAAAAATAATGCATACACCAGTGAAACAGCCATAAAAGAAACATTGTAAGTCAACCGTGACGTCAACACACTGGCAGATGAACGCATATCAGTCTGTATAGAGCCGGCCGTGGTCATAAAAACATGTTTAGCAAACAAAGTGTTACAGGAGCGCTCTCAACTGAACCTCCATTGTAAAATTAAAACAAAAATAAAGTGGGCCAGTTCCTTGGCAAGAAAAATAGTTAAAACGTCTGATGTCAGCAATACTTACACCTGAGAATCGTGACTGTCAGAAACGAATACACTAGGTCGTATGTAGTGCCAGTACGAGATGGCGACCCTACAAGGAGCACAGGGAGGCCATACCTCGTGAGGAAGGTGGTGAACCACCGCTTTGTATCCTCGGACCGACGTGGGCACTTGGAGAAATATCAGGCACTTTTGCAGCACGGCTTCGGGACAACTTGCAGATCTGATGGGTTCTATGAGGGTCCTGACGATTTGTTCCAGGTGTCCGTCCAAAAGGTACGGCTGCTCCAGGTACTTGTCAAACAGGCGTTTAAACTCTTGGAACAGAATTTCCTGCGCTTTCTCATTGAGGTCACACGATATCACGGTATTAATGATGGACATTACGCGATCGTAATCCTCGAATGTCTGTAGGGCGGAGTCCCTCTCCGAATCTAATTCGGATTCCGTGGGCGTTTGGGTTTCCATCACAGTCAGTGGGTTCTTGTGACACCGTTAGAAGCCTGCGATCAGCATTTACCACGGGGACTTGTCGGTTGCAACGTGGTAAGAAATCGTAAAAAGATTACCGTTAGTATCAGAGCTGTTTTGGGACAAAACGCACTTCATACCAAAGTTCAACTGCACACAAAAACCGGCATTCATTCGAATCATTCACCTCGGAGCCGATGGTACGTCCGCTGTCCACTGCGATCGCTGCGGTCGTCCTCATCGGCACTGCCACCTATAAAATATCAATTAAGTTCCCAAAGCTTGATTTATCGTTAACTCGCAAAAAATACGCTTCGGTACCCAAATTTAGAGCCAAGACACACGGTACACACACCACGCCTTATACGGAGTTTCGTTTTATTTGTTAACAAAAAAAAGTCGGCATATCGTGAAAGTATTCAACATGGCGTCTACTGGTAGGTCAATACGTGGGATTTCTTTGAGACAGATTTCGGGCCGAATATTGTTCTAAACGAGAGTCTTGCATGCAGTCTTACTTGTGTCAAAGTGTCAACTCACGATTCTAACCATGACCAGCGGTCGCGTCCACTCCAAGCCTCCCCATACTCGCGCATTAAATATGGCAGTGATCGCCGGATCGCCGCTGTGACGAGTTCCGTCGACACCCGCCATAAATGCCGCCGTCTTCTTAATCGCCCCGACGTGTGTCACTCACGAGCTGATTGCCGATCTAGCGTTGCCTGCGCAGCGGCATCCGTCCGTCGCGGTACGTGCGTCTCCGTGCCCGAACCAAAGTTTTCTCCGCCGAGAAGGACTAAGCCTCCTCGCGGATTTGTACGAGGCTGAAAAGTGAACGTGCCCAACGTGTTCGGGGTAAGCAGCGTGCGCCCGTGGCCTCTATCTTCACGTGCGCTCACTGAAACATGCCAGGTAGCGTAGCGTTCCGTCTCTCAATCCACAGCGCAGTTTTTTCGGTGTCCTCCGATTTTAGACGAGGTATTTTGTGACGAGGAAAGAAGGAAAAAAGATATTGCCGGCTGTTCGTTTAGCGCGCCCGATAATCCCCGAGTTCCGGCTTGAGGTGATGGGTGAATGTGAGTGGTCCTCCAGTCTTAGCCCTAATTGTGGCAGTGTCGCTTATTAAGGTCGTTCACTTGGCGACGGGTGTGGCTGACTCTGGTGGTATTGGTGAATTTGCTTCGCCACGGCGTTTTCCTAATGCGCGTCGCGCGACAATCTCCTCTCCCTCTCTCTCAGTTTCTCTTTGGTTCTTCCTTTGCAGGAAAAAAGCATAAGGTTAAGGGGAAGACCCTCAATCTCAATGATTTTTTGGGTACTGATCAAGACGCACCCACAGGATATGCGGTGGTTAACACTCGTCGTCTCAATTGGGCGGACACCATGGAAAATGAAGTCGTAGACGGTAAGTTTGTTTCCTGTGTCATGCTCGTGTGCTGGGCCTCCAATGGAGGGTTAACGTGAAAGCAGCTTATAGAATTGGCGTAATGAGGAAGTGCGGGGAGAAATGAGCTACTCAAAATACACAGCATACCCATTTTGCTTCTCGAATATGTGCCTCCTGCAGTATTTCTCAGTTGTCGAAATCATCTTTCTTAGGAAGTAACAATAAGACGGCTTGTCTCGAGATGGTAACTAAAAAGCCATAATGCCAAGCATCTGTGGGTTGATGGTAACTGATTCCATCCTGTCTTGAGTGGAGTAACATCTCGGTTGGTTGAAGGCAACTGGGCACTAATGCCACCATAACTGCCCTTCACTTTTTGTTTCTTTTTATTCTGGTTATTCACTCACTGTGGTCACACAAGGGGCTATAGACACCTTTAAAAAAAGATCCGGTGCTTCTCTAAGCTCCGAAAGCACTGCTTGTTGGTGGATCAGCCAACACCGTGAATCATGCTCTTCTCTAACTACATACAGTTGGTTGGAAGTGAATGTTGTATAAGTGATGGGTTTGTCAGCTCGACAGTGCCTTTTGCACATGCCACTGTGCTGTACCTCTAGTACTGTCAAAAGAGCTAATAATTTAAAAAGGGGTCTCTCACCCTTCAAGGCACCTTATTGTCCTCCTCACTAATGCAAGCTTTTGCTTTACATCTTGGTACACTGGACATTCGTTAATGACACCTCTAATTCGGAGCATGCTGAAAGCATCTATATCCAAAATAGTACTGCAGAACCCACAATTTTAGCTAACCATACAATACCGGGGAAGTGCCCACCCCACTTGTGCCGAAAACTGGGTTAACCTAGACACAAGCAATTGTCTAATCAAATTGGTAAAAACCAAGATGGCGACCAATAAAGAGGTTTGAAGGCGGGTTGAACGAAATTGGAGAAAGCACGTTTATTTTCACGCGATATCCCTTTCATCTCCGCCGCTACGGGGCGAATATTTTCAGCCGGCGCTTTGGAGGGGGTGGCCTCTCGACGTATAATTTGCACAATTCCCAAGTCCGGGAAATGTTAACGGTGGGCGCTTCGACTGTATTTTACTGTAGTTTACAGTACTTCGACGCAAGATATATATATATTTTTTTTTACGGTTTTATTTGGAAAACGGGTGGGACTCGGTTATCTTAACAATCTGTAGAGTCTGGACTTTGTGTAGCGAAAGAAAAGTGCAAAGTTTTGTTGCCCGGCGGCGTTCTCTCTGCGCGTGGCATCAAAACAGCAACTGTAGCACTGCGTGCAAAGCGTACGTGCCGCCGGGCAAAGTTTGTCAATCGTTCGCCGCATGTTCGCTTCACAGAGTACAGACCGGAGGGCGACAAAATTCGGCGGAAGCGCGAGAGCGTTGTTCGGGAGGGTTGGGCCCTATCTACGGTGCCGGAACGCGTCTCCAACCAGTGTGTTTTCCGCGTTAAAAAAATAGGACGCTAAGCGCGCGAGCGGAAGATGTGTTCCGGCCACCGCAACCTAGCTAAGCCCCGAAGCGACGTCGAGACGGAAGCACCTGCCGGCTGCGACCCTCTTGGACGCTTGTCCGCGCGTGCTGTCCCATCTTGCGTTCCCACCCAGCAGAGAAATACACGATAGACTGCAAGAAGGACGAGAAGATCATCCTGCCGACGGCTCCCAAGGCTGCCCGGGGCCCCGATGTCGATATGTCCAAGGTCCCCAGCAAGCCCCCCTACACCGTCTACCTCGGCAACCTGCCCTACGATGTGTCTGACGAAGACGTCATCAAGTTCTTCAGGACGCTCAAGGTACGCCCCCCAAACTGAGCGCTCGCTCGCCCAGCTTTTCAAGAGTGGAACTGCTGTTTCGACACGCCGTATGGCGACAATGCCTGATGGACGTGCCGTCTGCTGTCTGTGGCGTTGATGCTGGTGAAGCCGTAACGGCCGACGTGGGACGCCTTGCTGTTCCTTTGCCCAGGTGTCATCTGTGCGCCTGCCCAGGGAAAGCGGAGAGAGGGGCCGCATGCGGGGATTTGGGTATGCAGAGTTCCCAGACAGGGGAACCCTCCTGGAAGCCTTGGCATACAACAACGAAGCAAGTACCCCCCCTGCCCCCAGTTTTACGAGGGGAAGCTGAAGCCAGTTTTAAAGCATGCATTGAAGGGACGGCTACATATTTTGAATACTCCCTGCGTGAAAGGCCCATTTTGAAACTGCCACGGCCTTGATCAGGGGGTTAATAGGAGGGTCTGAGTTTGTTTTGGCTGATTCTATTTAATTCTAATTAAAACCCTAATTTTCCCCAAAAAGTTGATCCTAGCTTCTTAAAGGGGTACGGAAACGAAATTCCAGCGCTCAATTTTTAGCTCTAATGTGTTGCATGTTGCATCCTAACTTCAAAAACACCAGTGTTCCGTTGAAAGGCACAAGAAAACTAATTTTAAAGCTAAATAAACAATCTTTCAATGTGCACCTGGTGGATGCATGCGGAGCCTATTTGGAAGGTAATCGAGCAACGTTGGGGAACTTGCTATGTAGCCATGACGTAGCAGATTCTATCGGAGCAGCGCCACTCTTTGGAATTTCAACATATTCCTTCTTAACTTTCCTCCTAGCTCAACTCACAAATCGCGCATTGTACCAAACAATCCAAGAAGACTGAAAGGAAAGACTCCCCTCTTTGTCGGACCCTTGTTTGTGTACCTGAACACAGCCATTCTCCCCCTAGAAGATTATCCAGTCGCTCAAGACTCGGACAAAAGTTGCTTTCCCCACCCCGTTCAGCCCTAACCTGACAGTGTTGTGGAAGCTACATGCTCCTTGGGCCAGCCACACGCTCGTCACCCCACGGATACTTCAAACGGCTCGGTTGTAACGTGTTGACACTATTGACACTACCACAATGCTGACAACGCCACCAATGGCAAAGCTCATAACCACGCCATCCTTGCTGCATCACGAATGCGAGGAATCTTTTCCTTCTGTTTTTGTTTGCGCTGGATATCCCATGACGCATCACGCTCTCCGTTCGTTTCTCTTCGAGCACTTGCTCGAGCGCACTGTTTGGAACAAAAAATATAGCCAGTCGTTCAAAATACAAACGTGCAATTATCATTTACAGTTATTATCCGTCATACTTGACTCATTCCTGAACGAAATTTGAATATTTCAGGTTTTTTTTCCGTACCCCTGTAAAACAAGGAAGGCGTCACCCTTGTTTTATTTTGGCTTTGCTCGCCTTCACGCAGAGGTTTTGGCAAAACTTGATCCCACGCATTCTTTTGCCGGGCGGGAAATAGCGTGCGGCTTCTCACCCAGCGAAGTCACATCTGCACAGAGCTCTAGAGCTCGGGGATTGGATCTAGGGCTCTATCAAAAGTGAATTGTTGCTCAGTGAGGACGCAAACTTGTCTCGAAATGCCGAACGAGATTTATTTGGCAGTGCCTCAATCTCTATTATGAATTCGATTTTGCAGAGCCTCAAGAGCCGATCGATTAAAGTGAGCCTAGCTGAAGAGCACGGTGAGTACCTCTTCCTCTCTTTCGTTGCTGGCTGGGTCGAACATAGCCCGACGAATGTCCTCTTCGATCCTTGTTCCGCCAGACAACGAAGGCCGAGAGCGCGGAAACCGCGACATGGGTCGAAGCGAACGCGCGACTGACGGTGATTGGCGCTCCATGACCAGGGACGACGGGGATGATGGTGGACGGCCGGACCATTCCTGTGAGTCCGTCTTTCTCCGTTTCTTGCTCTGTTTTGCATTCTAGGTTTGATAGCTCTCTTTGCTTTTAGATTAGTGCATACGATAATCACTGAGAAGATGAGAACGGCAGGGCGTTCTGTCCGAATGCTTGGCCTCTGGCACGTGTCTGTTGCCTTTGGTTGTGCATTGGTTGCGCATGCAGACTCAAGGCTTGGAAGATGCAGAGGCTTCATCTCCACTGTTCTCATCCTGTCAGTAGCTACAGACAGTGTTGAACCTGGGCTGAACAACCGTAAATGGTTCGGTTGCTGAGGGAGGCTTTTCCTTAAGACTTCATTCGAAACGGTCGTTCCAGGTCTGCTGTGATAGGATTTCTGCTGGGTGGTGGATTTGCATCCACAATTTTCAAAATAACCGCAGCCACCTGCTGCCACAGCGGTCTGGGAGTGGGTGTTTTTCCTTGCTCCGGTCGCCAAAAGAGGAAAAACGGCTTTGTATGAACTGGGTGGGTGGGGTAGGGCTTTAAGATAGTCCACAAGGGCACAAAAGCAGCATTGAGGGTGTTCAATTTGTGCCAGAGGTTTTTGAACATTTAGATATTGAGGGATGCCCACCTTTCTCGTTTGGCAGCCTGGGAAACCCCTCCCATTCTTGGCACCAATGCAGTGAAGTGGTGAAGAAGCTTGCGGAGATTGTAAACAATAGCGCAGATAATAGGGAGTGTGGTACATCGTAAAACGGCACTTAGGCTGATAGCACTTTAGGGCAGGAACAGTCGGTGAAACTTGGGAGCTTGGGGAACCTTTGAGGGTACTTGGGGGGAACCACTGGCCTTCTAGGAACCCGGTTCGAGAACTTTGGATCTAGGCCACTGCAGCTCAGTCAAGCTAACAGAATGTAACTTTGCTGCCCAAAGGCTGATGGCACATGCGTCATTGCCAGATAGCCTCAAACTAGTAATTCTTAGAACAATGTACGGCCACCACGGATGGAGAGTGGTCTTGAAGTGGCAACAAACGATGTCCCAAAAACCGGAGTATTGTGCCGTCGGATGTTGTGATCCTGGCGGTTGGCCGTAAAGGTTCCGGAAAGAAATCGCTAGCGAAAGAGAGTGTTGCCGTTGTTGCGGGATCCCAACTCCTGGCTTCCAAAGCTTCCATGGACCGCAAACGTTTCTTCTGTAGTGTCACAAAGTCTAATTTTTTGTTCCCCCGTCGTTTCGACTGGAATCTAGACGGGAGCAGCCGTGGCTTTGACGACTCGGACGGAGGTTACCGTCGCAGCGGCTTTGGACGGGACTCCGACCGGGACGGCGGTGACCGGGACCGATCCTTTGGCGGAGGATTCTCGAGGGACCGGCCTCGAGGTTTCGGAGACCGCGACCAGGGCTACGACCGCGACCGTGGCTTCGAGCGACGGAGCGGCGGAGGCGGTGGCTACGAGAGGCCGAGAGATTACGACAGGGGTGCGTACGCGGCACATTACTGTCGGTCTTTTTGAAAAACGTGGAATTTAAAGGAGCTGTGCAACGATTTTAATGTTGAAAGAATTGGCATTTTCTGCTTTTGATATTGTTAACTGTGTCGCAAATGGCAGAAAACGCACCTCCTTTCATCGAAATGTTGCGATTCCGCCGTGTAATAGCGAGGCAAAACTTAGAATATTTCTCGACCTGCAGCCACGAGCGGCGGCCATGAGAAACAAGCGGCGTGACGTCACTTGGGTAGTTCTAAAAAAGATAGCAAGTTGTGCGAATACCTGCTCGATAAAAGGTAACTTTTCTATAAATCTTGTCGTTCCAACAAATATATAAATGCGTCAAAACCCTGGTATCATCGACAAAACTTTTATTATATAGAGTTTTAGTGGCGCTATCTATCCTAGGTCCACAAAACCGCGAATAGCCGCCAGAAGCCGGAGGGGGAGGGGGACAGCTCCGGGCGGGCAAGGACGGGTATGGCCGGACCCGGATGAGACTTTCCTCCTCCAGCACGTGGTCACGCGGTCGCGAGCGGATGAGTTCTCGCTGCTCGCTGATGGCTCTAAAGAGAGAACTTTTCCGGAACCCCGCGCCTACTCAAGTGGCGTCACTGCGCATGTGACTCGGAAGACGATGTACGAGTTGAGAGGCGGCAAAAACCTGGATCTTTTTCATTTTTTTAAATAAAAACTAGGGTATCTAGGCAAAATCTGTTTCCTGTAGTTCACTGCAGAAGTGTCAGGCATCAACTTCCACAATTATTTAAGCAAAGCCCTGAAATTGTTGCACAGCTCCTTTAGCGGTCCACACGTCACGCGGTTGTGTAAGTCGCACCTGCCCGCGAGAGGCCGTTCTGACGGAAAAGTTGGTGTGTAAGTCGCGCTTTTTTGAACGGCTGTTGCGTCGCCGTAGCCGCAGACCTATGCCACCATGATTCAGGTGGCCTTCGGATCACCAGACGGTCCGACGACGGTCTGAACTTAACGGAAGAAATTCGCCCAGCTTTTCTGTACTCCTGAGGTTACCAGAATTCTAGAGCACACCAAAAACATATCCTTCGAATTAACCGGATCCTGATGAAAAGTTTTGAATAAACGCCATAGTTTTCGAAGCTCATGCTTCGAAAACTAGAATAAAGTAACTTCATTACCGGAAGTTTAGAGTACCATTGAACCTCTGTTCTGCAGTATTGACCATATAACTTGTGTCTCAGTGTATGAGGAGAGCATTCACTTTCGAGTATGCCCATTCATCCCCTCCTGCCTTCCCTTGTCTTTGAAGTGTGTTTCTTCATGAGACAGCCAACTAGAGCTCTAGGGTAGACGCACCAGGCTAATGCCGTCTTTCTATACGGTTTGGAGCGGGCCAGCTTGCATCTTTTCTCTGTTCATTCTTGTCATGCAGATAACATCATTGTAAGGTTGCTCCTCTAGGACCAAGGTGTTTGTGCTGGACGTTCCGCTACGTGCATGGGTGCACATGCCAGTTTGCTTTTTTTTTTTAACCTGTAGCTCTCTAGTTTGGAATAGTGGCTTTGGCGAAAGAAATGAACTATTCTCACAGTCGGTGGCAGGTCAAGACCGAAGTCGAAGCTCCTCCCACCCCTTTCCTCTTTAATAAAACGAACGCTGGAGAGGAGGCGACCTCCGCTCCACCGTTCACTCCGCTGAAGTGGAAAGGGGTGGGAGGAGCTTCCGCTTCGTTCTTGACCTGCCACCGACTATAGGTTGCGTTTCAGTTGCGCGTTTTTTTAGCTTTTCCCCATTGTTTACACACGCCATGAAAGAAAACAGGGACAGAAATGTTCAAATAACTACATTCGTATTGTTTTGATACGACGCTGGAGCTGCAAGCTGCTCTTTTATTTTGTTGATTTCGTTTTTGTTTCATTTCAAACGCTTTTTTCGCGAGCGAGAAGGGACAGTGACAGATGCTTGTACGTGACTGTGACTCGTGCGCAATTGAATGCTGCAGCGCTGCGCTTACGGCCGCGCCAGAGCCGTATATTGGGAGAGACTGGCCAGTGGGTGCGGCGACGAAGACTTTGGAGAGGAGAAAAGTGAAGGAAAGAGAGGAGAGCAAAGAGGAGACGAGCGCCATTTTGACGCACTGTTGAGGCTACGCGTCGTCTGCTACAAGCTTTTTTTTTCTGCCCGAATAAAAGTTTGCGTTCATTTGTGGAGAAACTTAATTTGCTAGCTTTTTTAAACCACCGAGGAATAAGACTATATCATTTGCTTGCCAGAGCCTGTTAAATTAAACGATAGAACCGAAATTTGTATGTCGACCCCATGCATTCCGCCGGGAGAATGAAGGAAAATGGCGGCCCTCCCCGCTCAGATGGGAGCAGCCGGGAGTTTGCGCGCATGCGCTCACGCCTCTCGCTTTGCGCCACGAGCTGATTGGCAGCGAGATCATAAGCTGGCGAAACTCTCCCCATGCATGGCCCTGGCAGACGCTAAAGCACCTGTTTATGCCAGCATTACACTGTCGTGTCTTGCGGACATGCTCACGACCGCCTGGCTGAGAACGATGGGTCTCCAGGTGTTCTGTGCCCAAAGCTGACCAGCCAGGTGTTTTCCTCAGGTTACGGCGGTGGATCGAGTGGCGGCAGTCGGGACTACGGCAGCAGCTATCGTGACGATCGGGACAGTCGGGATCGATACCGATCGGACGACCACCCCTCCGAACGGGACCAAGGTGGGTTGCAGCGGTCCCGGGGCAGTGCTGAGAAATCGCCTGCTGTGGGAGGGGCCTTGGTCGGCGACACTCCGGGCCACTTTGAATCCTCGTGTTTGTGCTCACTTTTTCGCCAAATGTCATTACAGATAGTGTACAATTCGAATGCATCTTCTATCGCAGAAAAGCTCTTCCAGGCTCTCTGAATTTTTCGGCTGAAAGCACGAGTCATTTGAAGTATGAATAATTTTATCTGGAATGAAATGATTACGTATCTTTACTGAAAAGTAATTTGACCGAACTGGAAAACAAAGTACAAACTCTCTTGGAGTCTTTCGTGGCAAAGAAAAAAGAAAACAATCAACTCTAGGTAGTTTGTTGAATAGAATCTGTAATTGGGCAATGCACGCAACAATGTTCGCATTTTTTAGGAGGAGTGGAACCAACTTGTTTATCTGTGTGAAATGGGAACAAATAACCAGATAAAATTAGCGAGCAAGCACCAGTGGAGTCATCCACAATTATTTTCAAAGTGTTCAACGGTAACCTGTTGATTGGCACCACCTGTCCGCAAGCATATTGGGCAGCAGGTATCTACAATAGACCAGTTCCACCCGATTTCATGCTCATGCGTGGCAGTGTCACCGTCTCGCTATGTGGCGAATTTCTAGCAGTCCATGAGATAGTTTTAAGATGAAGGACTTGCAGACGCATTTAAAACATTCTCCCGTAACTATGCTGAAAAAAAGCAGCCAAAATTTGCGCGGACTTTGTCTGTTTGGTGTTTGAGAAATGACGGCATTTGCTTCGTTGTTACACTCTACGCATTTGAACGAGACTTGTGTCTGCTTTTCCATGGAGCATGTAGGGAGCCAGTCATTGCAATTCGTTACACTAGCCTAGCAAATGGTAAAACCTAGAGAAAAAATGTTTTCTTCCACGATAGTGACGCACGCCGAACCTTGGGCGTTCGAAACATCCTCCTCGTGGCCTTTCCCTAGTGCAAGTGGCATTACTCCGCAGAAAATTGTTGTAGGGCTCCTTCCATAAATCTCTGCGATTGGCTCTCTCCAGCGGCCCCAATTGAGCCGCGCTTAGAGTTGCGGTACTCCGCGATTACCTCGCCGGCACCGCCATTCTGGTGCTTGGTGCAGACTAGGTGCGACTGGCAATCGGTACGATAAGAAAATGCGACTTTCCAAGCTGTGGATGTGGTGTCGGGGGGCCTCTGACGGAATTGTTTTGCCCTGTCGCGCACCATTCTAAGATCTCCTGTGAACGGAATGGCGCTTCTCGCGATTTCAATTAAAGCTGCGGATAAATGACAACCACGATTATGAGCTCCGAGATGGCCAAGTGTCGCTACTCCGAAGCAGAGGTTATTTTAGGGGCCCTAAACCTCCCTAAGCCCCGCGGGAAAATAGGTGCGCGAGTTCCGGTTACGAGGAGGATCCGACACTATTCGCGGAACGGTCGGCAGAGCAGTTGTAGCGTAAAGGCCGGTTCACAGCATTGCGTTTTGCTTACGACTGAGAATTCGTTAGACAAGGGGGCACACTGGGATGCTGGCGCCACCTATGAGGTGACCCTGGATTTGATTTTCACTAGAGCAAGGGTGTTGCAGTATTTGCGAGAACAATTTTACACACTATCTACGAGCAATGGCGGTGTATTGCATTGTCTGAGGTTTTTCGAGCCAATAAAGAAAGAATGAGGAAATTTATGAAAGCATCGCGTCTTTCCGATTGATGGCACCACCGCTTCCTCTCGTCGTAAGAGGTTCCCAAGTAGTTTTTGAGGCACTCGGTCGTTAGCAGTCGCAAGTGTGCGAACCGGTCTAAATCGCTTTTTGGCACCCCGACCGAGTCCTTTGAGTGTCCCGGCAGATTCGGGCCCCAGGGAGCGCAAGAAGCTGCAGCTCAAGCCGCGCTCCGTGCCCGTGGAGGCTCCGGCCAAGGAGGCGGCCGCAGCGGCTGCCCCAGCCGCCCCGGCACCTGCCAAGGCGTCGGCGGCCATCTTTGGCGGGGCAAGGCCGGTGGATACGGCAGCGAGGGAGAGGGAGATTGAGGAGCGCCTGGCCAAGCAGCGCGAAGAGGAGGAGCGCAAGCAGATCATGAGCCGCGAGCCGTTCGTCGACAGGTACGTTCACGCGCCGTCCCGGGTTTGCGTCGAGGCTGGGGTTTCGAGGGGCTCGCGACTCGAAGGACGGCCATGTTGCGGTCAGGCTGCTGATGCGTTGAAAAAAAGACGGTCTGCGCACACTCCCTGAGGCGTGTTCCCTCCTCTCTGCCACGTCGGTCGTACAAAAACTGTCTACAGACGCGTCCGAAGCATACGCGTGTATGGAGCAAGCGTGCTTTGAATGTGCTCGGGGCATGTTCGCGGGCAATTACATCGTCGTGTCTACGGCAAACTCTGTGTCTTTTAACGCCACGGCGTCGAGGAGCTCTTGTCGTGGAAGAAATTGGGATTGGTCGACAGGGTCACGACGTCGCAGCCGCGTGACTTTGCGCGGTTATTTCAAACAACTCATAACACTTGCGTTGAACATTACGTTGCGCATCAAACGAAAGGGATTAAAAACATGGCATGTAATTCGAATTAAAGTTCGCCCCATGTCTCAAATGATTTCACTTCATGCAGTAATTCATTTGCCTTAAAGGGCCCTTGAAAGGAAAAAATTTTTTTTAGCAGTCTAATTGGGACAGCGTGTCAAAAAATTAATTTCACGCAAAAAAAAAAAAAAATTTGGATCAATATTGACGGCGCGAGATTTATTCTAAATTCTGCGCGAAGTCTATGACATCAGGCAGTGGTCATACACTCTTCCCACCTCAATGTGAAGGCGAAGCCGATCCACCTCTGCCCGAAATGCCGAGAGAAAAAACAAGTAGAAAAGAGTTGACGATCTACTAAATCGCATCTCGCGCCGTCAATATTGCTCTAAAGATGTTTTTTCGCTTAAAATTAATTTTTTGACACGTGTGTCCCAACCAGAATGTTTAAAAAAAGAACTTTATTTTTTTTAGGGTTTTTTTAAAGAAAATCTTGATTAGTTTTAGGCGGGATTCGAACCCAGAATCCTTCGGTTGCGAGCCAGACACGCTACTGACTAGACCATGTCCGCCGCACTTCCTGCTCAATGGCTGGCGGAGAAGCGAACGAGAAGGCGATGCAGACGAGGTCCGACAACTTCATTGCGTTCCACTCGTAAAGCAAAGCTTAAGCATCCTCCTAGTTTTTGTGCGAATGATAAGCAGAGTGACTGACTTTATGAGTAAAGAAGACAAAAAACGGGAGCTCCGTTAGCTTCAAGGTTGACGACCAGGCACGAGGTTCTGCAAGGCAGAAGATCCTTCTCACCCTGGGGGAGGAGGAAACGGGCAGCGGTGGAGAGGGTAGAAGGGGGAGAGTAAGTAGCGGGGGAAAAGTGGAAAGCGCAAACTGGTCGTCGGTTTTTAAGCAGATTTTCATGGACACGTTACGCTATAGTTACTGGCTGGTGCATGAAGCATTGTCGAAGGTCAGAAGCTCGTGCTGGAGGCAGGCCAACTGAAGCTCCTCCCTGCCCGTCTCACCTTGTCAGTGACTTTAGAGAATTTAAGAAATGTTTAGTTTAATTTCTTTTTTTCCACTTTTGTTTCAAGGTCCTTTTTGTGACTCCTTGAGTGATTCCACCAAAGAACTCTGTTCTAGAGCCCTTGAATAGAATAAAGTAGCATCATCCTAGATAGTAAAGCAGTCTACATTCTTCAGTGAGTGTCATAAATTTTTATTTATTCCGCAGCTTTCCCTAGTTTTGGTGATCTGTTTCCTCTTCTTTAAAAGGAAAGAGTTGATTGTGATTAGCGGTTAAAGCTATCGTGACGAGGCCGGTGGTTTAGTGTAAGTTGGCGGTGAAGACAAAACGCTGACGAGGTGAAGAGGGAAAAGATGGGCGGCTGCAATTTTTCTGCAAAAGCACGAATACACCAGAATAATTAACAACCAATCTACAGATACTCAGTGTAAACCCCTCCCCCCCTATCGAAGTCAAAATATTGATACACATAGACCCTTTCGGTGAAAGCGCCACGAGGATACGCTGTTGCATTTTGTGTCCCCGTGAACTTTCTGGGGGGACACTACCCAAAAAAGTGAATGTTTGAACCACTTGTCTGATTTAAATGACACTTACAGGGCTTGTTTTTATTGATGTTGAGAACATTTGTGGCAAATTTTGGTGACCTGGGTGAAGTACCGTGAAGTACCAAAACAAATTGCAAATGTTTGAAGGTGAAAGTGGGCGTGTCTGCGTAGGAACGCTATCGTTTTGAAATTATAAATTTGTTGTTTTCATGTGTTATATTGCTTTATGACAGTTCAGAGCAGATAGCGGTGCAGCTATATTTCTATATTATACCATCTTTCGTGACAAAAAAGCCACTAAACATAAATACTGTAAGCAGTGATAGAGTGCAGGAGAGCTGGTAATTAACTCCTTAAGTGCCAAATTGTTTTTTCCAAAAGTAACCTAAAAGTGCCAGATTCTTTTTTTATTTTGAATTTTTACTTTAGTATTACACATAAAATTTGAAAAGTTTATTACGCAAAAATCAGCGGTGGCGAAAAAAATATTTGCCAACTAATACGAGTGCTGCCATCTATGATCAGCGCCGCACAACTACTGGGACGAGCCTAGTTCGTCCGTGGAATTGAGGGCAACCGAAAAAACCACTGGACGAGCTCAGCTCGTCCACGGCATTTTTAGCCAGAAACTGGCCGACGACCTCAGCTCGTCCAAGGCACTTAAGGGGTTAATCGACATCTTGTAGACTCTGAGATGGGGAACGGCCCTGTGATAAGGAAGGAAAATCCTAAGATGGGGGGAACGAAAAAAAAACATAATTTGGTTGTGTTTGGTTGTTTTCTTATTGTTCCCCCCCATCTCGGAGTCTACAAGATGTCAATAAATACTGTTCTTGTAGCTTTCCACCCTTAGTCCAAAATTCTAGTTCTTGAGCATGAAAAATGGCAAAAATAAAAAAATATAAGCTCATAGCTATCTTCCCCTTAAAATTTCATCCCAGAAAAACTCAGAAAAATAAATCCATGTTACATAATAACAATACAATAGTTTTCCAAAAGTGAAATTTATGCCAAAACCTGGAATGGAGAAAAATGTATTCAAGGTGCTCCAACCTCTTCTTTAGCATCGGTGTACTGAAAATAATTAATAAAAAATTATTAATGCAGTGTAAACAAGTGAAACTTTCTGTGAATACTCTCTAGATGTTGTTCAATATAAATATGGCAGATTTCAAAATCAGATTTTTATTTCATTTTTTTTTTCTTCTGGGTAATGTCGTCCCTTAACTATTGTGACATAAAGAAGCTCGAAGGTCTGTTGAAATGTAGTGACTAGAGGTTTCTTAGGAGGCAAGTAACTGCTTGTGTTTGTCAACATGAAAGGGTTTACTGTCGAGATCAGTTGTAACGAAATAGCTGCTACAGCGAAGCGATCACAATTTCCCATTCTCTTTTGCACTTCGTTAACCAAGGTCGGCAATAAGAAAATAGCGGATATAGCAAAGTGATTTCCGATTCTCATTGACTTCGTTATAACTGGTCTCGACAGTATACAGGAGCAAAGTGAGTCATGAAAACAGCTTGTTTTCCATCGTGCGCCCTTTGGCATTTGATCTTTTCCTCCTGGGAGGGTAATTCCTCTAACCGGTGACCTCTCTCCCAGCCGGAAGGACGAGCGGGTGAGGCGCTCGAGCGTTGGCTCTGGGTCGGGACGCTCCCGGCGCTCTTCGGAATCCGGCGGCCGAGACTCCTACGACGAGGGGGCCAGGCAGCCCGTCTCGCGGCAGTACAGCAACGTGAGTGGTGCAGAACCACCAAGCGAGAGAGCCCCCTTCTCCGCACTTTTCACGTTCATTCACGCACCGTGTCGCCGTAAGAAGTAACGGTATGGCGTTTGTCGCCATAAACAGTAGCTTTTAAGACTGTCTCGTACCGTGATCGTAGTTAGGTCGAGCATCCCTCGAAAGTTCTCAGGCTCGTGGATCTCGAGGAACCCCGCCTGCCTCGAGTGGCAGGGGAGGAGCCCCTCCTGGTCTGGGCACTGGTGCACTACGTCGGTACGGGAGACCGCCGACCTTGTAGACAATGATGCACATGCTAAGGAGTGTTTGGCTTATAGTTAGGTGTCAACGTGTGGCTCAGCTCTGCTGAAATAGTGCTCAAACTGAAAGAACGCTTTGCTTTGGGGTAGGGATGGTCGAGGAAATTTGAGATCTCGGAGATTCGGGGATGGTGCTCCGGGGAATACCAGGGTGTTTAGGAATACAGTTTGAGAACCTTTTCTTTAAAGCAGAGGCACTCTGCAAGGTTAAAGAGCCTACGCAAAGTACCGTATAATCGCGTGTAAGGGCCGCACCCAAGTAAGAGCCGCACCCCCATATTTAGAACAAAATATTTCAAACCAAAAAAAAAAGTACAGAAATTATTTGCGTATGCTCCGCACCCGCTTGTTTTTGAGGCGCGCCGACCGTAATGCCACGTTTCTATGAATATATATCGCTAGGTGGCGCTAGCCACCTCCCAAGCACGTAGTGGCACGTGTACGCATCCCCAATATTTCCTTTCCACACATCCGTATCACCGAATGGCATAATGGCTGTCGACCTCGATCGTGGTCAGCCGCACTGTCGGGATGCATTTATGTTGCGGCAAGGCATTGAGAAAAGATAATGGATATGTCAGGTTCCGTGGCAAGCGCGAGTAATGGGGATTCAGCGGGCTCGGCTCGCGCGTGCACTCATGTTTCCGAACGCCACTGTACGCTCTGGGGAGGTTTCCTTTTGTTCTTCGATTCATGTCAAAGCGTCGTGATTTGTCGGTCTTTTCGCGCAATCTGAGAGCTATGGGCAAGTACCACTTCACCAGTCATACGGGATTCAAATCGAAAGCTGCCGTGCATGCTATCAAGTACGGCAAAAAAAAAAAGATGCATATTGTGCAGTATGTAAACTAATTAAATCCGACTGACAATCGAGTCCCGATTCCGGAGTGAAGGAGTTTCCGACCAGTGGAGCCGAGCGCGCTCATGTTTGTTAATTTCGGAATGTGGATACAGTATGTGGGTCGCACCCCGAAAATTTGCCCTCAAATGGGGAAAAAATAGTGCGTCCCTTGCACAAGTTTATACGGTACCTTCTGTCGGCAAGCCAGATTGTGCCACATTGGAAACAACAACCCCCCCCTCCACCCCACCACTCGCATGGTGGTCATGTCCACCTCAAAAAAATTCGTGGGAAGAAACTCGTTACCAGCTATCCACAGTTGTTGTTCACCAAAGTGATGCATTCAGAAGCAATAATTAAGGTCATCGTATTCACCATAAACTGTTCGAAATCACGGTTTTGTATCACTGTCAATTACAAGTTTCTGTCGCACACAGAGGCATAAGTTACTATGGAGATTCTGGCCAAGCGACTGGTCAAGATTTTCGCACGAATTTTGTAGGCCATCATTACAAGGCACTATTGGACGGTCGGCTCTTATTTTGTCAGGGTCTTTGGACGTTGAAATGAGAACTGCTTGCCCTTGAAAATGATGGAGGCGGAACCTGGGTCCTAAGAGCCCCGCAACATACAGTGTGCAACTCGTGGCATAGCAGTTCACTGCGCGTCATATCATTCATGTTTGGAAACTGATCATCCCCCCTCCCCCATTTTTATTTTTCATCCGGCCCGCTCTCTGTCTGTTTCGTGACGATCTGGCCTGCTGCAGCAAAAGGGTCGCCGACCCCCACTCTAAAGCAGCAGTTATTCTATTGCAGAGATTGTTCTTTTACCGTGTGCCCCTTTTTCCTCTCAACTCTGCTCCGGTAATGCTGGAGGCGGTGGAAATTAGCAGCGAGTGCTTGCTCTTGCAGGACAGCGACCAGCAATATTCAGCCTCTCAGGGGAGCAGACAGCCACCACATGGACACGAGGGATCTGCCTCCTCGAAAGGTGAGCACCGTGCTGCAGTGCGTTGCAACTCAAGGTGAGCAGTAGACAGAGCCCTTCTTTCTTTCCACATTAGCACAGCAAACGTTGGAGTCCACTTTCCTCCTCTTGGGCATTCTGTCTGCTAATTTGGAAAGAGGGAAGAACTCCATCTCCTGCCGTTCTTGAGTTGCAACGGACTATAGTTGATTGCGTGGAGAAACGAAGAAGCGAAAGATTACCGTATTTACTCAAATGTAACGTGAGTTTTTTTTCCGAATTTCCCTTGCCTAATTTGGGGGTTCGCGTTATAATCGAAACGCCTCAAATTTTGCCTTGGCGGTGTCGCAGCACAGGCTCTTTAAAATGGCTACGACAAATCTCGCGATCTTTCAATCTTCTGCTGGCAACATATACACTCTGGAAACAGCCAATCCAATCCTATTCTTGTTTGCGACTCGTTGCACCCATGTTAGGGTTACGGGTTACCTTCACCACGCTTTCTCTTTCTGTTAGGGTTACCGTACCCATGTGCTCGTGTTTTGTGAGCTGCTGCTACGTGTGTCCACGACTAGTCTCGAGCAAATGGCGACGCGTCGAGCTCAGTACGACGCCCGCTTTAAAAGAAGTGCAATTATGATGACTGAGGAAATCGGAAACTCTGCCACGGCTCGACGGGTACAGTCGCCGACCGATTTATCGGACTTCGCAGGGACCGAAAAAACGTCCGAATAATAGAGCAGTCCGAAAAATCAGCAGATTAAAAAACTTGCCTTTATTACTTCCAAATGGGCTTTAAAAAGCCGTAAACAGTGCCTTGTCTCAGTTACACCTCCGTTTGCGTTCGGCAACTTTCTGTTAGCTTGACAATCGCTGCCTTCTTTTCTAGCGTTATGGTCGAGTACTTTCTGCGCTTTTTAACGACACATCGCGGCGGCAGAACAACAGATCGGGCCATGACGTCCAAGCCAGCGCTGACCAAACAAGTTAAGAAGCGCAAATCCACGAGCTCAAAATGGCGATTGGCGACGCGAAGCAACGGAAAAGCAAAGCAAAATGATAATGATGATGATGATGATGACGTGCAGCTAAATGGAAAAAAAGGGCTAGCATAGTGTCACCTAGCGGTAGGACTCAGGAGTACTCAAGTAGCGCTGCCAAACCAAGCCAATCCATTTGCAGCCAACACAGAATTCAAAATGGCCGCTTCTCGATGATGTTTTCCGCTGATCGCTCGCGCCGATTTTGTCCGATTTTGTCCGAATAATCGAACTTTCGGACTTCAAGCTGTCCGAAACATTGGTCGTAAATAAGCACTATTTCTATGGGGTAAGTCATGGTTCCGCCTTTAGGTCCGAAATATCGAACAAGTCCGAAAAATCGGAGTCCGAAAAATCGGTCGGCGACTAGATGTGACAGAATCGACTACCCGTGGGTGGAGGCTCCAGCGTGAAGCGCTCTTCAAGTGTGAACCCGGCCGAAAAGGCTTCCGCAGACCACGTTGTAGTACTTTTTAAGGTACTTTTTTCCCCTCGCGTAACTCGCGTTACATTCGTCTTCTTTTTTTTTTTTTTTTTTTTTCGCGCTGTGAAAAGTCATTTTTTGCGTTAAAATCGTGGTCGCGTTACATTCGAGTAAATACGGTAATTCCGCGTTTTGAGTTCCTTGGAGATGCTGTTGGACCTGATTACCGTATTTACTCGCATAACGAACAGTTTGTCTCGTGCTGTGGTGGACTGCAAAGAAGCAGAGCTCCGCGGGTATTGCTTCTCTGCAGTGCACCGGTGTTCAGAAAGAAGCACGCTCAACGGGGCCGCGAGAACAAAAAGTGTGAATTACACGAAAACGGCGTTTGAATTGGGTGGTTTATAAATACATTAAAAACATAGTGGGAAAACCCAAGTTTCGAAATTCGTTTGAATTAACCAGAAATATGTTATGCCAGAGTTTAAATTATCGTGAGACTACTGTATGTAAGCCGCATTAAAAACTGTTTTTCTTTTTTTTTTTTTTTTCATTTTTTCATTTTTTATACGGGAAAATAGAAATGGCTCTGAGTATTGATTTTTTTTCTGCCATTATTGCACAGACGAAAAGAAGTTAATTTTTATCCTCGATATCAGAAAACAGTATGAAATCAGAAAGTGTTAAGCCCTGGTTTTAAATAGGCACGACTGCATCGCACCCTCTGGCAGCAGCTATTGTAGCTGAAACGTTCCCATTTCAGCCTGCATAAATGTGCAGCTTTCCCAGGGGTCCAAGACTTTGTCAATGAGCAGGGTGAAGTAAATGATAAAGATTTTCCTTCTTTCTTTTTAACTGCTATTAGCACGGTTAAGGGGGCAGGGAGAACCCTCCTTGCCTGTCTTTATCTTTTCTCTGCACCGATGTGGAGCTGCACTAGTCTCGCTAGCATTGCACAGAAAAGTGATGTGGAACACGGGCTGAAAAGTGATTTCAAATAGAATCGCGAGTGTACGCTGATTCCTGACAGCTTTCAGGCTGCATTCACACTGGCGTTTGAAAGTCACGATGGGAGAGGAAAGGGAGAAACGAGAGACGATGGAAGAGACATGGTTGCGAAGATTTGAATTGCATCTGCGAAGCGGATCCACTTGTTCTCATCATCAATTGCCCATGAACTTGTGTTGCATCTCTGTTGCACCGCTTTGCAGTTGTGGTTGGGTCACCGGTGTGCAGTGAAACATGGCAATGTTGTGAACTTTGGCTTTTATCGGTGTTGGTCTCTAGCGAAGCTGCCTACCAATAATTTTCCGCAAAAACACGTTGCAGAAACTCTCTCGACACCTCGCGAAGCTTCGTCGACAGAGCAACGCATTTGCACACCTGTTCATTTTGCAGCGAGACTGGGCAGACTGAAAGCACGGAGCATCAATATTTGTTTCTTCCCTCGCTCTTCGCGACCAGGTGGCGAGCGTCCAAGCGAGCGTGCACGGTGGGGGGAGCCGGGCGGCGCGAGGGACGGTCACAGCAGTCGCAACGGCGGCGAAAGGCTGCCCTCGAAACCGGACCTCGCTGGTGGCAAGGCCGACGACGGCAAAGTGGTACGCTTGCGGGAGTTGCGCGTCACCCGAACACACTGCACGGTTTGGCCAGTGCCACTCGGAAGACGAGGCCCGCGCAACAACGTCGTTGTGGTTGGATCCCCAACCCGCCCCGAACAGCAAACACATTGAATCTCGGCGAAAGGTGGCGCAAAGCGGCAGACGCGTTTCTCTCGGCGTTTCGAGACACTGCGAGATGGCTGGTGGCGCTGCGGGGATCCACTAATGCCGACATTTGGGGGGGGGGGGGGGGTGCAGGCCTTGTGTTCAGGGTGGTATTGGTTTAGCTGACTTGTCGGTGGATAGTTCTGTGATCTAAGTACACCCTGAAACGTTTCGTATTTTTTTAGAATTTTGGCTTCAGAAAAAGAGCTTGTGTTTGTCCCCCCAAGGGAGAGCCTCAATCACCTTCTCTCTTTAGCCTGCCTAGTAGAACCATCGCGAACTATATTTTTGTTCACCTAAGAGGGCTTGAAGATACGGTGGAACCTCATTAATATGTTTATCGGGTGAAATAATAACTAATACTAATAACTCTCTTTGAAGGTTTAACCGTCGTTTTACGAAAAGACTTTTGGTAGCTGCCATTTTGGGGTCAGTAATGGGCAAAGCGTGCAGTAGAAGCATCCAGCACGCGCTTGTTGTCCGCCTTTGGGCTTTGTCTGTGTGGTGAGTGTGTGCTGCTGGACTGGTAATGTTGTACAGCAAACTGTCACTTTTTGTAAACAGTGGAGGGGTTTATAGATGAGACCAAACACAACTTTCACGGTGCAATTTGTTTCTACGGGCGTTCACTGCTGTGGAGAAAAGTACCGTATTTACGCGAATGTAGGTCGACCCTTTTTTTCAATATTTGAAGATCTGAAGTGGGGGGGGGGGGGGGGTTGACTTATAATCGAACCAAAGCATTTCACCACCGGCAAAAACGAAACAATCGCGATATCATGGACACCCGGCTTGTTACGAGTTCAGCCAGCTGTACCTCTAGCATTGCACTATTCTATGTGCTCATTTTACAAATTAATTATTTTTTTATTTGCGTGACCGATTATTATTGATAGCGATTCGCAAATTAAGCCGAATATACGGCGGTGAACAGCGCACGGCGCGCCCGACTCCTGGGGTGTGGCGGCACTTCTTGTAAGAGCCACTCCGGAGGCCGCTGGCCGCTGGAACAGCCTTATAGCTCATTCACCCCGTGGCTTCACTTCGCAGTTTTTCGCACGATTCACGGTAGCACATCGTTTGATCGAGTGACGAGATCATGCTGGAGCGCTAACTACGTTGTTTTGTATATCACGCGTGATCCGGGAAGTTTAGGTTTTCGGTGCTCGTTTATGGCCATTCTTCACTCAGAAGCAACCAACAACTGTGCTGTTAGACTCAAGTTCGACCCGTCGGAGCGGGTGATGCTGCAGTGGAGTCTGCAGTGGTGCGGGATGTTAAACTGTGACGGCAAACAAAGGGGCTTCCGTAGGCCAAAGTATGGTTCCAGAGTTGGAAGTCAGGCTTGCGACGTACACCGCAAAAGTGTGCAATCGGTCCCTACCCATGATATGTAACGCGATCGCTGAGCAAGCACAGAAGATGCATTTGATCCTGTCATTTGTGAAGTGCAAAATTTTGTTGGACGACGCCGACGATGTGCTTCGAGAACGTAGCAGTGATGACGACGTGCCTGACATCACCAGTACGGACGAGTCGTAGTCAAGTCCCGGACGGAGTGAGAACGACAGTGAGCAGCTTCAGTTGTCCCGCCTGCAGTGTGAACTTCCCAGTATTGATAATGCCCGGGCATCTCATGCACCTTGCGCGTGTTGGAGGCTCGGCTTTCGAAACAGATATTTTGCCGTTCTCCCGTGTCTGCAGTAAAATGCGGATCTAAAGATTTTTTTTTGCTGATGTGCAATGTGGAGGGTTGACTTACAATCGAGTCGACTTACAATCGTGTAAATACGGTACCATATTTATCTTTACGTGTCGCAATCTTTTTCTGTTATTGTAATCACGAGAATCTATTTTTCACACATGGCAGCTGGAATGAGATACAGAGAGCAACAACAAACTCCACATCATCAAGTCCGTTCTGGGCGTTTGGGAGAGCTCTTATACAGTGTAGACCGCATATAACGTATGTTGTGGGAGTTGCGAAAATCCGCACTGTAAGCGGTACCGCGCTATAACCAAAACATCAATTTTCCAGGCCCAAATACATGCCATCAGACATCTTACCATTGTAAAAGAATTTATTTTAAGTTAGATGAAAAATAAAGCTTAGTTTGAGGAAAGTCTTTATTTCACCAGATTATAGTACAGTTCTGTCTCAAGTGTGTCACACATTTTGAAAGAAATGAGCGGCTTTCGTTGGCGCAGCCTTTTAACGGCGTCGCGGGTTGCGGACGGACGTTGCGAGCGTTCAGGATTGCTAACCCTAATCACTTTTCTCCGGAGATGAAAACGCGTGAAAATTCGCATCCTTCATACGGTACGCGCCAGTAATACCTTCAACTTGAGCACACGCATGAAATGCGCCAAATAAGAAATCCGGGCGATGTTCAAGGACACAAATGCTTAGAAAGCACCAGTGTAGTCGAAGAACAAACACAATGGCGCGGGTGTTTCTGCCGTCTTGAGAACGCCGCCACGACATCGCCGCACGAGTAGGTGGATCTTCCCTTCTAGTACGTGCTGGGTTATCATAGCGACACACAACGAAAATTCACAGTCAAGGATAGCGCTTTTACGCGGAACGATGAGCTTCCACCACACCATCTACGACGACGATCACAACCAACGCCATGTTTGCAGATAGAAGAAGCTGGCCTGCGACCGGCATGCAACGCGCGAACACTTCTCCTCGACCTGCGATTGGTCTGTCGTTGCGGTTGTTTTCCAATGCAGCGGAGGGACGCACGCATGTGATCGACACGTGCATGCATCCCTCCGTCGCTATGGCAACTGAAGCCTCTCTCTTCGCTTCTCCCCGCTTCTTCAAGCAACCTCCTTGCGGCTAGCGCCGTCAGCGCCGTTATCTAGTGTCGCACAGGGAAGCGTGCTCGCTGCACTGGTCGGTCGGTGGGCTGTTCCAGAAACCACACTATAACCGGTATTTCCCTTCGCGCGCCTGCATTTTAAGGGGGCACTAGGGTCTTGAAACAATTTTTTTTATTTCTGGTCAGAATGCCACCAAATTTTGCATGCTAGTGTGTTTTCCTATGCAGACTCCAAATATGCACTCAGATTAGAGCTACTGTTTATAGAAAAAAAGTTTTACTAAATAATATGAAACTTATTATGCAATATCTTACGCAACTTTAATCAACTTTCTCAACTCATTCTGCTACTTTAATGACATGAAGTGATAGCCAAAGAGCTGCTGAAGCAGATGACATTCTCGGTTTTTTTCTAAAATGACTTTATCTTATTGAGATATGTCAACAAAATGTTACAAAATTTTGAACCGAAATAATGTAATCTAATTAGCCAATTATAATTTATGCCTGAGGCTTATCAAAAAAAGAAGAATGTCAGCCTGCAGCTAAGCCACATGCGAATAAGAGGGTATAAAAGTTTTGATGATCGGACAAGAAGAACTTGGCAAAAAGTTGCGGAAGCCTTCGGAAGGTTGTAAAAAAAACGAAGCTGAGAAAATCGCGTTTGAAGTTTGACAGTTGATTATATAAACACTATCACTAATACTGCAACAATATCTCCCTCACATGTGCATCTGTTCTTTCTGCTTTCATATCTGTAAGTCATTTTTAGGTACGTCTTTTGAAACTGAAGATATTGCAAGTTACGCAAGACGACTCTCCAGGTTCCATAATCCACTAATTTTTTAAAATTTCTTTTCTTGATAGAGCATTTGAATATTGAAATAAGAGCCTGTAGCAATAGTATGAAAGTAACCTTGATAAGCTTGGAGACAACGGGAGGTGACATGTGCTCACTGAGGATATAATTCCAATAAACAAAAATGATTGGCCCTAAGAAGAGCCGTTTTTTGCTCAACACCGCGCGTTGTCTAGGTTCAAAGCTGTCCCGGGCTGTAGTCGTCGGACTTCTCCAACCTGTGCCGTTTGGAGAGCTTCTTCCTTGTGGCTTGGCTGTCCGAGAACACCTTGTTTGACTTCAGGAGCCGTTGTCGGTCCTTCTCCACGCTTCGTCGAGTGAGGCAGTTGCCACAAGCGTAGCCCAGCCCAGAAGCTACACTCTCATTGGTCTTTCTCCTGCCTTGGTTGAAGACTGCTACAGCTTTGGCAACAGCTCTGGTCACGCTGAGCAGTGATGCGTGGCTGTTCTTGGACGTCTGCGCCCAGATGACAGAGTGTAGACACTCACTCGCATTCTGAGTTTTCCCGTCGGAACACCGTTCCAGCAAGTTCTCGTCACTCAGCCGAGCAAACACTGGTTCTAGTGCTGCCCGAACCGCATCAGGCAGCGGAGCCTTGTGTGCTGGTGGCACTTCATTGTTTGCTTGGGCACGATTGTACTTGCACCAGGAACTTGCTCCACTGGGGCAGAGGCTGTGGTCAGGGGCACCATCCGTCGAGCACATGTGCCGGAGGGTCGCTTGCACAGCCTTCTTCATCTCAGGCACATCGTGGCTGTGGCTTTGGAGGGCATACCCATAGTATTGTGTTATCTTCTTGATTTTGTCTTGGGTGAGCTTGCCTCTTCCACCAAGTGCCTCACCCTGTGCTTTTCTCTTTTCAACCACGTTGCGCAGAGCAGCACCCATTCGTTTGTGGACGTGGTTGAGGCAGTCCTTCTTGTCTATGGGCACAAAACCATACACCTTCTCTTCAGTGAGTGCATGAAAGGTGCGGCTGTCTCCGTCGGAGAGCACGGTCGTGTAGCGCAGCCCATGTCTTGAAAGCGAGCGCCTGAACATCACAAGTGCTGCCTCCACCTCCATGCGTCCGGCACTGCAGTCAATGTTCTTTTGGCACTCGTGCTCTGCAAGCCAGTCGGCGTAGCCCTCCTCAGAAGCCTTGGGT